GCACTTGACGAGCCAGTGGGTCAAAAGGCCGCAGCGCGAGCTGGACGAGATCGAGCATTGGCCCGCAAAGCAGCGGCTGATGGTCGAGAAGAGCGTCCGTCGCCTTATCGAGCTGCGGAAGCACACTCGTGTCAGAGGCCTGACGGTTCTCTTGGGAGATGACAACGGCCGCTTTTACAACCTGCCCAACGAATATGATGAAGAAATGGGCAAGTACGCCCGGCAGATGCAGAGTGAAGGCGTTTGCGTCGTTGATCCGTCAAGCCTCCTGATGAGGACCACGCGTCCCGACGGGTTCCACATCGAGGTCACAGACCCGAATGTGACTGCTTCATTGCAGTGGTGGCATGCGCTCATCAGAGCCATTTCCACCGACCGAATCATCACTCGCCGGAAGGCTGAGTTCGTTGCCAATCAGAGAAGTATTGTGTTTCGCAATCACTTCGAGCTTGGGAAGACCGAGAAGACGCTCACGGTGCCGCCTGCAAGTCAGCGCATCCTCGAGCCGTTGGACCGTGCACCTGAGCTCCCGGCGGAAGCCAGGGAAGAGGATGAGCAGATCGTTCTCGACCACCCTCTTCTGATGATGATGCCTGAGCCGGTGGATGATCTTGAACTCAAGCCGGAAGGCTCTGAAGAGGTGACACAGGTTGAACATGTACTGTTTAGCCGTGATGTTGGGTCAGAGCTGCCTCTCGACCTTGTCGCCGTCGACCCTGAGGCGCAAGAGGACTTTGCCTTTATGGTTGCACGAGATGTCATCAATACCACCAATGTGCTTATCCCAGATGACGATGCCATCGAGAGGGAAGTCAATGACGGCATCCCCACGGTGTGGGACGAACCCCCAGAGGTTCCGGCATCGGAAGATGACCGCAGTCTTCCCAAAGGCACAGTCGGGTACTCGCAGGCACTTCGCCGAATCGGGTCGACGCCCAAGTCGAAACCCGATCCTGCCAAGCACAGGAGAATCTCGGAGCCAGCCGAGACTGACGATGAAGAGGATGTCGTGATGGACCTGGATCCTGACGACACCGCTCAGCCGTCGGAAGACGCTGCTGGTGATTTCGAGCCATTCTTCGAATGGTGGGGCTATGAGGACATCCCCGATTTTGCCCCAAGCCATCGCTACATGACGGATGGCAAGCGGCGAGCATTGAGCAGTGCCATGAGCTTTTTCCTTCGTGGCTTCGCGAATAGTGCAGAGTCACAGGCACAACGGCGGCCACCGCCCATGATGACCTTCGACCCCGCAACGCGGGAGGTCGAATGGGATCACTTCAAAGAGCAATTGGGCAAACAGTGGCGCGGTCTCCGGTCGGAAGACGTCATGGAAGTCGTGAAGTATGGTAACCGCGACAAAGATGACAGTGGACGCTTTGAGTTGCGCGTCCTCCACTTCGTCGACCACACTGAGATCCATGGAATCCGTGCATTCCAGGGGCACTGCCGCGATCTCATCTCTGACGAGACTGATCTTGTGGATATGCACAGTGACAGCTATGCTTTGTGTGACGGCTACCGGCCCACCATGCACACGCGTCCTCCTGTAGGAGTCACTGGCCACATCCACAACGACTGGGTCAGAATGCATCCGATCGGGTACCATGCAACGTATTGGAGCAATTTTTCCAATATTGTTAGCACCGGTCTCATCCCAGGCGGTGTCACCCTCGGCGGAAGCACGGGGAGAGCCTTCACCATGATGGCTTGCCTCCCTCAGTGGGAAAGGCCGAACAACGCCGGCCTGCGACCTGGCGCTGAGGTTGAATTCGCTATCGACCTCCAACTCGCGTGCCTGGAAGGGTGTCGCATTCTCCTGACAAAGAACAATGTTCTGCAGACCCCAGATTGGTTGTCCAATCGCTACCTTATGTTTGCTTACGATCGCAGAACCGGGAAACCTGTATGGTTTAACCGCTCGTACGAGCTCACGCGAGCTCGGGTGTCCAAAGCCCGTGATGCATATGTCAAGCGTCAGGAGATCCTGCCGGTCTTCAACGACCTCATCGAACGCGCAGCGGAAGCTGACGCTAATTGCATCATGGATTACGTTGATCTCTGTTACCCGATCCACAATGAAAATTTGGACTGGGTTGAGTTCTTGGGTATGTTCATGGACGTGGAGAAGCCCTCGCACTTGCGTGAGGTTGAGCAGTTTCATGTCGATGGTCGCACCATCTGCTTTGAGCAGGGTAGTCCGCTGGAGAGAACTCCGTGCGAATGGACCTTGGATGCCCAGGTCTACTTTTCGCCAATCGGGCTGACCACCGAGCGCCCGTCGCGTGTGGAGCGCAAGCACTACTCAGTGTGCCTCAACGTCAGCTTCCCAAAGCTGCGTTGCCCTGATGATAGGTGCAGGTCTCAGATGCTTGACGGCTATCTTCATTGCCCCCGCTGCCAGCGGAAGTTGTTCAACCCGAGCGACATCTCCCACATTGCGGAGCTGGCTGATCTGCGGGCGGAAGCCGTGCAAGGTGGAGCTAATCACAGCCTCCACTATTTGGCACCGAAGGCCGCCATCAACACGCGCCCACACGAGCACACACGTCAGGGTGCCGATGTGAAGAAGAGCATCGCCGCGACACTTAAGGAAAAGTGCAAGAAAATGGTGGCGAAAGCGGCAGAGGGAGCGCATGGCTCCTTGCGCCAGAACTTGAAGTACGAACCCTTCAGCGCATTCAATGTGTTTTCCAAGGGGATGACGGTGACTTCACTCGACGAGATCGAGATGTTCTCGCGCTTGCGACTTCCCGCCCCAGGAATGGGGACGGAGGCAAAGAGAGGCTTTGCAGGATCTCACACATCCGATGCACGCACTGCCCTCATTTTCCCTCCTGTCGACGATGTGATTCGCGGGGAGTACAACTATCAGAGGAACATTTTTCTTGAGCTGGCCAGCCACTGCTACTTTTGTTTCCAGGATCGTTTTTACCTGGTCCCCGAGATTGCAGTGTTGATCCGAGCCACTCAGATTGCCTCTGAGGTACGCCGTGTGCGTCCTTTTACCATCCTCCGCCATGACGGCGTCGAGTACCAGACCGTGACCGGTACTGTCCCAGAGATCATGGCCGACCTAGTCGGTATGCTCCGCAACAACGCACAGTATGCTCTCACCCAGAAAGAGCGCAATCAGCAAAGGGTGACTGTGCAGGTTGGAATCGGACAGACTCCGTTGCAAATCCCAGCATCCCTGGGGACAATGGGCAGGTCACAGATGCTCGAGCTTCTTGGCGGTACGCGATTCAGTGTTGAGCGTACCCGCGGCTGGATTAATCGCGAGGTGGAAGACCGAATGGTCCGACATGGTGCCACTCCCATTGGCGCCATGCGTGTGCCGCCTCCACCGCCGTCACCATCCGGAAGGACTGGTCCTGACTCGTCGCTGCCCGCAGCAACACCCAGTGTTCGGCCTCCACCGGTTCCTCCGAGCCGAGGTCGCTCACCTGGCGGTGCAGCTTCGTCATCTACGGATCGTCCAGCGAGCACTTCTGTTCCGAAAGCTGCAAAGACGAAGGCAAGGCCGGCATCTGCCCGAAGCATTACGCCGCCTCCTCCTAAGCCCAGTGCTAACAGGCCAGTGCAGCCGCCGCACCCACCAGCTGCAAAAGCTGTTCCGAAGGCTGACGCCGTTCGTGCACCTGAGGAATACATCACTGCTGATGAGTGGGACGATTATTTTGCCGGTCGTGGCGAGGTTAGAGGTTTTGCTGTAGGTGATGCACCTGCACCAATTGCCGCCCCTGCGGGGTCACCCACTGATGAACCATCTGCCTCAGCCGCCGGAGGGCGTGCTCGCACTCGCTCACCGCGCCGCCATGACTATGGTGGTGGCCGAGACTTTCAAGAGGCCGCGAACGACAGGTTGCGTCACCTGCGCCTGTGTGATGAGGCGATTGAGCAGCAACTCGAGAACCTGACGGTCACTCTCCCAGGCTTCCCAGCTGATCGCCTAAGGGAATGGATTGACCAAGACGGGAACGAATTCGATCCATCCCGACCAATGCCTCGCAATTGCACTCGCACAGATGCTTGGTATTGGGGAGTCCTCCGTGCCCGTTACCTTGAGGAGCTGTCGCCCACTGATGTGCCTTTTGTCATTCCCGCTTACACCGACCGGGAGGTTTTGGTTCAACATCCTGTTGAGCAAATCGCCTGGTTCCTGCACGGATGGGAGGAGTATCGCCAGGACTCCAATGGAGCATGGTACAGGGCATACTAGCCTATTGCATCCGACACCGGAAGGTGCTCCGCGTCTTGAGGGCACCGTGTCAGGAGATGCATGAGTCGCACGCCACAGCGACTTGCATTTTGATCCGTTTTTCTGCAACTCACCGCACTGACGTGCTGGTTCAATCACACCAGCCTTCGCATCGGCACGCCCGTGCATCACCGCCCTGACGGGTTGGTTTGCTGACCCGCTTAGTAGAGTGATTTGAGTTTGCATTTCAAGATCTTTTGCTAACCTCGCAAAGCGAGTGCTGCCTCAGAGTAGCGTAGAGTAGTAATACGCCTCCTCCGCTGCGCTTCAATGCGCGGGGGGTGTTTTTATTCTCTTTGTATGCTAGTCATCATGTCTTACCTACGCTACCTCGTGGCTCAAGTACAAAAAGGATTCGTGCGTCCCGCTGTTAACAATAAAATCCTAAACCCTAAACGAGACACCCAAAATCCTAAACCCAAAACAACACCCTAAACTCAAAACCCATAACCCGAGACCCCATGCCCTTGAAGGCTTAGGGCTCGGTAGACGCCGCATCACCGTCAAAACCCGAAAGAGACAGGTCTCAGCTTTTAGAGGGTTTCTTAAAGGGTTAAAGGGCTCCTGAGGCGCTCTATAAGGGATCTACAGGGGTTAAGGGTTTAGGGTGTAGGGCTCTTATAGGACCCTTAGGCAAAAGACCCGTGCAGGGCCCCAGGCGCCTTATGGGGATATCCCTACCTTATTCGGCTTCCTGTTAAGTGGGACATCCCTATCCTTTTTGTGCCCTGAGATCCAGGTTTCCTTTACTGCTCCTCCTGCCACCCACGGCCGACTTGCCGCGTGCCTGAAAGGGTTTGTCTGAGCGATATCTGCGCTGCGAACTAGTGCTTAGAGTCATGTAGGGGATTGAATTGAATAACTACAAATCCTGTTCCTCAGGTGAGTTGAGATCATGGAATTACAGTGTATCATGCACCCCTATCTGATGTAATGACGAACCTGTGCCCTAAACGCCTATAGTATCTCTTGATTTACGGGAACCCTGTTCGGCTTTCAGGGGCTTTCGGGTTTTCGAAGGTATGGTTTCAGGGTTTTCGGGGTGTTTTGGGTTTTGGGCCGGAATGCAGCCATGGGGTGGCAAAGGTTCAGGGTTTTGGGTTCGGGTTCAGGCTTGCGGGTGTAGGGTTTTCAGGGTTTCAGGTTCTTAGACAAGGGCTGTGATGCTGAGATATGCCCCAGTTCCTCACCGGAGGACATCTCTGGCTCAGGGTTTAGGGTTTCAGTGTTTAGGGTTTCAGGGTTTAAACCTCAGACTCCTTATCTCCGAAACCCTAGACCTTGAAAACCTAAGACTCCAAAGCCCTATACTCCAAGACCCTAAACCTAAGATCTCAAAACCCTAAAGGGAACTCCAGAAAGTTGGAATATGGATTAATGGTAGGATCCCCTATAATTTACCTTAAAGGGACTATGATAATGATATTCCAACTTTCTGGCTTCTACTGTAAACCTAAGACTCCTAAACTCCAAAGCCCGAAAGTGTCCTCTGAGGTGATGAGAGTCATGGCGGGCTGGAAAGGCGGCGCTCGAAATCCTAAACATTGTTTCCTAAACCCCTTATCTACCATTTGCTTAAGAAACCTCAAAAAACTAAAAAAAAAAAATAATCCCTATATTACCCCCATAAGGAATATTTTTTTTTATTCTTTGGGGGTTCTTAAGCAAATAGTAGTTATTAGGGTTTAGGGTTTAGGGGTTCTGGGTTTAGGGTTTAGGGGTTCTAAACCCACTTTAAAAATCTAGGTTCCCTTAGGGTGCCTTCAAGTTTTAGGGTTTAGGGCTTAGCTCCTTCAAAGGGTTCCTGAAAGAGTTCTATAAGGGAGCAAGGTTCCGGAGTAGTACCCTTCGATTCCCTGGTTAAAACCGAGTAGTGGGAAATGGGGTACGCTGATTATAAAAGGGCTCCTCAGGAACTAAGCCTTAGGATTTACCTGGGGATCCAAAAACCTACCGTTTTAAGGGTTAGAGCCTATAATTAAGGGGTCATAACCTACTATTTTAATTTTGTAGGGTTTGGGGATACAGGTAGGGTTTGGGGTTTAGAGATTAAGGGTTTAGGGTTCAGGCATTTCGATTTAGGGTGTAGGATTTAGGGGTTATTGGGTTTAGGGTTCCCTAAACATTGCGAGCCCTGAACCCTGGAAGTCCCATGCCCTAAACCCCAATGAGGGTTCTGAATATGACTTGGAGGCCCTTTTGACTTAGTAAGTAGGGTTAGTAATTAAGGTAAGTTATGGGGATTAGAATAGGGTTTCTAGGGGATACTAAGTAGACTTACTAAGTCAAAAGGGCCTCCAAGTAATATTAACCGTTTAACAATGCACCCACGAGTAGATCTGAATTGCCACACATTGCACGGCGCCGTGCCTGCGACTAAACCGTCAGATTGTGGTTGGCCATGGCCGTCGCCGTTGACCATTACTTAGGGGTACTTAGAAATAATTTGTAATTTTTGGTTATTATATCCCCTAAGAAACAGCAAAAATTATATTTTTTTGCTAGGGTTCCAAGTTCAGTATAGATTAGGTTCTGGCCTGGCCGCCATGGATTTGCCACGAGGCCCTGAGGAGCTGGCCAAAATGATGGGCATGAGTGTGCAGCAGATGGAGGAAGAACTCAAAGGTTGCAGTGTTATGAGTTCCAGGTGTGGATCGACATGAGCGTGGATCAAGTCAAGTACCGCCTGGCCACACTTATACATGAGCGACATCAGCTGTACCTACATCCTTGCCATTTCCAACTTCTTCAGATGGCAATTCGCGAGTCCGCCGTGATGGCGTTCTGTGCATTTTTGTGGACTTCGTCCTTAATTCTTCAGATGGAAATGCGTCTTGTAGTTGACACGCGTGGGCTAGGATCCAAGCCACTGCCTGGACCGCAGTATTTTCCTCGTCTTCCGAACAGGGTGGCTGAGGACGACACTTGGAGAGATCGTGGCGTGCAGCTGGTCTCGGCATGGTTCAAAAGCCACTGGAAGTCACAGATGCTGTCCGCCAAAGACAGGGACAACAACAGCCCTTTATTTGAACCAGTGCTAGACCCTAAACCCCTAAACCCTAAACCCTAAACCCCTAGACTCTAAACCCTAAACCCCTAAACCCTAAACCCTAAACCTAAGACAAGGAGCTGGAGCTTTAATGAGCAGTTCCGAATCATTAGGGTGCCCGTGCGGAGTTTGAGTCCCTCGTCCCCAAACAACCTATCTTTTCAGGATTCGTAGAAGGAAACGATAAGAAGGAGCCACGAGAGGTTAGATGTTAAGGATCCAGGTAAATCCTAGACCCTGAACTTTGGGGTTTGATTCGGGGCTTAAGGTGTTGCTTGTTCAGGGTGTGGGTAACTGTGGTTTAGGGTTCAGAGTTTGGGTTTAGGGTTTAGGGTTTCTAGGATGTATTGTGTTTTCTGTATCTTCGGCCATGAGTCCTGAGGCTGTACTGGGTTTTCCAGATTTTATCTTCTCTGAACCCGTCTCCGAAACCTTAGACAGGAAGTTCGGATCTTTGTGTCCCGTTGCCGTTTTGGCAGCTTACTTAATCGACTGCCCTAGATGGTGAACTCTGAAAGACTGTCGAGGGTTTTCATCCCAATCCCAAGAGCCCCAAACCACACATCTTTCCCATCCCCAAGCCTGAATGAACCCTAAACCCGGACCCAGTACCCTAATATAGGACCCTAATATAGTACACCCTAGTATAGTACCCTAATATTACACAGTACCCTAATATAGGACCCTAATATAGTACACCCTAATATAGTACCCTAATATTATACAGCACCCTAATATAGGACCCTAATATGCTTGACATGATCCGAAAAGGCAGCGCTTTAGAGAGATTCGACTCCCGAGTTCTCTAGCCGACCCCAAGAAAGCGAAGCTAGCATGAAGCGCTTAGGTTTAGGGTTTAGGTTTTAGGGTTTAGGGTTTAGGGTCTAGGGTTTAGGGGTTAGGTTTTAGGGTTTAGGGGTACTAAAGCGCCATTTATAGTTGCAATCATGATCCAGCACTGCGAAAGCCGGTGAAAGCCATAGGCCTCAACCCCGAAACCTTAAACCTGAAGCGTAAACCGCTTTAAACCGTAAACCCTTTGACCCCCAAATCCTTTCCGAAACCCTATGTCCTTAACCCGACTCCCTAAACCTGTAAAACCCCAAATCCAAAGCATTCAAAACTCTTAACCCTAAACCCTAAAGATCCCTTGTGTATCCCTGTAAAGGAACCCATATAGATCCGTTGAGATTCGAGAACCCTTTAAAGGAATCCCTATAGATAACCCATATAGACCTTTAAAGGAAGCTTAGCAGGCTGGGCAGATTTTGAGCCCGTCTTACGCACCGGCGAGCAGGAGGCACAAAGCCTTGGAATCCCTCGGGTCCTGCAGATTCCTTCAAAGGGATCTGAGGGGTTTCGTTAAAGGATAAGGGGTCACCAAGGGTTCCTTTAAAGGGATCTATAGGGGTTCCTTTAAAGGAATCTCTAGAGGTTCATTTGAAGGGATCCATAAGGGATCTGTAGGGTTTAGGGTTTAAGGTTTGGGGTTTAGTGGAGGCACAAAGCTCAAGGGGCTATAAAGGGGCCCAATACCTAACCTTTAAACTTTTGGGTTCTTATAGTTTACTAGGAATCGGAAAGTTTAACTTTTATTTCTGTGGCTTATTGTGTAGTAAAGGGGTCTATAAGGGATGTATAAGGATTCTATAGCGGGGATTGTTGTAGGGAGTTTGCGAAAATTCGGGGTACGCTATTTTGGGGTAAGGGTCCTACTATCTGGTGTACTATATTAGGGTACCCTATTTTCGGAAGCCTCCACAACGGGCTCCTATAAGTTTATGTACTATCAATGGTTCCAAAAGGGTGCTGAGAAGGGTTCAAGAGCGGGTTCGATACGGTTTCCTGTTCGTAGTTGGCAACCTTTCTGCACTGGGTTCGCGGTGTTTCATCACAAGTTGTTTGCTTTTATCGTTGCGTGCATTGCGGGCATGTCTACTAGCTGTGCTGGTCAAGTTCCACAAGTGCATGAGGTTCCTACTTCGACAGCATTCCTTTCGTAGCTTTCTGTTTGAGTGGGTTTGTGTGTTTTGCTCAATGCGGTAGTCCTTGTCACGGTATATTACCTCAACCTCAAGGAGGGATTGGGGCTCGGGTCGAGAATGAAGCAATGAGATTGGAGGGTCAGAAAGCTTTTCGGGAGCCCGGCTTTCTACTTCCAAGTCTAGCAGCTTATAAAGGCTCCTTAAAGTAGAGCTCACAGCCTTAAATCATGCACCCTAAACACAAAGCCTACTTGCACCCCTCTCAACACAGATGAGTTCATCAAGACATACTTCTAATCGCAAAACCCCTAATTCCCGTACCTGTTAATTCCCGGCTCCTTACCCTCAAAGCCTAAACACATAGTGTACTAATAACCTTATAGACCTTGGAACAACCGAACACCACAGAAACTCACAATATAGGGGCCGCAGTAATTACCCATACTATTTTGGGGGCTCCTTACTACAGCCATAGTACCGTATATACTCCATAAACCTATTCTGATTATTAAGACGACTGCTATAGAACCCTGCTATAGATCCCCTATAGACCCCTTGAAGGATCCCTTTAAAGGAACCCCTATTCCAATCATTAAGGCCCCTATATGAATCGGCTTCGAGAGGCTACCGTGATCATTTTCTTCGATGACCTCAACGAGGCAGTTCCTACAGCGTGTGGATGGGTTCAGACACAATGAGTTCTTTCAGAAATCTACAATCTATAAGATGGTCTTTATAGGGCTTCTACATGGGCTCTGTGAGGTCAAGGGTGTAAGGATGAAATTTCAGAGTTTGAGGTGTATGCTTTGAGTTTGTTTAAGGGGTTTCGGGGTTGCGGCGCAGAATGTTTGATTTTAGCAGGGTCATGTTCCCAGCTACCTGTATGGTGTTAGAGCCTACAAAGACACCCCTAAACCCACAGCCTCTAAGCCCCCAAAGCCTTAAACTGATCTACTTGGAGGTTCAGGGGTAGTTATAAGTGTGGTTATAAGTCCCCTAACAAGGGTTATAAGTATAGTTACCCTACTTATAACCCTACTTATAACTACCCATGAACCTCCAAGTAGCCTTCGAACCCCAAACCCAAAGCGCTGAGCCTTAAGCCTTGAACCATAAACCCAACAAGACTTTCCACCATCAGTTTAGGGTTTAAGCAGGGTTTAGGGTTCAGGGTTTAGGGTTTAGGGTTTAGGGTTTTAGGGTTGAGGGTTTTAAGGGTTAAGTAGGTTTAGGGTTTTGGGAACTTGTGAGCTGAACCCCCATCCTGGAGAACCCGTGCAACACACTCATAGAGAACCCATCCGACGCATTACTATAGGGGCCTAAATAAGTAGCTATACTATTTTTTGGGGGGGTGGTTCCTTATTATAACTAGAGTAACTGGTATAATGGGCCCGAAAACCCTGTTCTTATTATTAAGGCCCCTACATTGCACATTCTTTATGCAGCTCTATGAGAACCCTCATGAAACGAAACCGCAAGAAAGCATCCAGACCCCCACGCCCTGTAACAAAAACTCCGTGAGCCGTAAGCACCTATAAAGCTCACCAAACCCGTACAGAAGCCTTCGCCAACCCAAAATATGGCACACAAACTGGTAGGATCCCCATTATCAGGACCACTCATTCCAGTAGTCGAGCTACATGGAAGGATGACAGCAAAAGCACGAGCGGCGGCTGCCAACAGGTCAGATCGCTGCGTGAAATTGTGCACGATTATCGTACAGGCTGGAATGTACCTGGGGAACTGCTGCACGGTGATATCCAGCATGCTCATGAATGTGACAGCAATTGATGACAAAACACAAAGACCCCAGTTGATCAGTGCACTACTGCCGACTACAAACAAGAAGCAGCAGTTTGGGCGAGCTGGCCGATCTGAAATTTCAAAATGCATTAAATTGCGGCACTTGCTGTTTTCACCAGCTGGTGAAATCAGGGTTGCACGGGCAGAGGACATGGATTACTCCTGCCTGACCGGCGACCCGACAACATTCAGCTTGTTGCAAGAATTAAAGCCACTCCCCAGCGCTGGTGCGCGGCAACACACAATCGATGTGCACAATGCTGCCCTTGCACTGAGCAAGCAATTGGAGCAGCTGCGGAAACGGGTGAACACAATGCTAGGACTGCCAGACCCCAAAATAGGGTACCCCTCATTTTCGGAAACTCTCTACAATAGTTGATCCCCATAATGGAACCCTTATAGATCATTTTAAGGAGCCCTTTGAGGGAATTTTAAGGCAACCCTTCTTTTCGGAAATTCCCATTCAAGCTCACAAAGCCCCATACTTGGAGGGTCGGGGGACTTAGTAAGTAGTTAGTAGATCCCTTTAAGGGAACCCTAAAGGAACCCCTTATGGTTACTAAGTCCCCCGACCCTCCAAGTAGAAACCCTAAACCCTAAACCCTAAACCCTAAACCCTAAACCCTAAACCCTAAACCCTAAACCCATAGAAGGTCAATTCCATCTCACCGTCGGCCGGCTCGATGCCTGGTGGAGCGACTGTGGCTTCGTTCGCACTTTCAGAGTGCAAGTTTCTGTGGGTTAAGGGGTTTAGGGTTTAGGGTTTAGGGTTTAGGGTTTAGGGACACCGTGCCGTCGGCGGAAGTTTCAGAATGCAAAATCTTCTGGTTTTCCGGCCTCCTAGAAGGTTTTGCAAGGATTTCATGCTGAGTCAAACGGGTCTGTTAAGGTTCTTCACGAGGATTTAGAGGGTTGCAGAGGGGTCCACATGCGTGTCATCAAGACTTATGCTTCTTCTACGGGTTTTAGAGGGGTGACGAGTTTCGGGTTCAGGGGTCGGGGTTTAGGGTGGGGACAAGTAGCTTGCGACTGTACTCCTTCATGGCTTCATTCGGTTTTCCAAGACTGTTTAGGGTTGAGGGGTGGTTTGGTGCTTTTATCGGTGTATTTCAGGGCTGTAGCATCCAATAACAGGGCTTCAGCAGTTACATCCACTGTAGTAGGATCCTTTCCTAAGCCGAGGAAGGGCAGAGAGATATACAACATGACATGATATAGAGAGCTTCCAGTATAGCGTTCAGTAGATGACCTCAAATTTACCTACGGAGGTCTGCTGAGAAGAATGTTCCCCACAGGATGAGGTCAGAAATCAGAGAGTCCCAGAAACCAGAGTCCCAGACTCAGAGCCTGCGAACACCTCGAGTATCAGCTGAAGGCTTGTTGCAGATACAGTCGAGCAGGGCTTCTGCGATGACGGCACCAGCAAGTGCAGCATCAACACACCAGCCACGGGTCGACCATGGTGGCGAGTCCGAGCAGGACATCACATCCATGCCGACAAGCCAGATCGAGCAGATCCTTAAGAACGGCGGCAACCTTCCTGGCTGGGACCCGCAGGGCGACCCCGTGAAGGACCTCGGGTACGTGAAGATCTTCTTCTCCGCGGCGATCCAGAATTAAGTCGGCATTTCTCTTTTCTTGCATCATAAAGCTCCTCGCTGCTACTACAAATAGTAGGCCTGTGGGAATAACATGCCCTACTGTTGCTGGTTTCAGAATATGTCCTCAAACCCTTTGGCAACAAAACGGCCCCGATTTCTTCCTTGCGGTAAAGCGTGTTGAAAGATGTTGGAATGAGTCTAGGCTGATGTGCTGCCAATGGGCAAGACCTTATCACACGCCCTAACAAAAAACCCTGCAGGGAGTCCCTTGGCATAGCCGTAGCAACAAGAAGAGCAAGAAGAAGAAGAAGAAGAAGGATGGTTCTCAAAGGGTTAATGTAGGCACCTTAATAAATAGAACAGGGTTTGGGGGTAAATGGTTCTATAATAAGGACAAAACCCCATTCTAATTAATTATCAAGGCCCCTACATTAGGAGGAGCCTCTTGATGCAAGCCTGTACCGTGAGGTCAAGCTCACCGGCAAGGGTTTCCGTCTACCAGGCGCTTCGACAGCGGTGATGTGGTGTGGGAAGGGGCTTGAGCGTTTTACCACCATGTGTAGTGAGTCGAGGTTGTGGTTAGGGCTTGGGGTTGAGGAATTTTTGCGGGTTTAGGGGTATGGCTTCGGGTAGTGGGTTTAGGGCTTGAGTAATTCTGGGAGAAGGGTGGGAGGCAAAGGCCTGCTTGCTGTATTGCTGGTTTCACGGTTGATGGCTGGATGAAGCAGCACCCCAGACCCCTGGGAGGATCTAGAAAGTAGATCCCCTAATTCGGGGCCCTATACTACTACGGGCACTTTATAGGAACCCCCATTAAGGGATCTACTGTTTCGGATTTTTGCGGGGGTCTGGCACTAGATATTAAGAGCACTGCCATGGTTGCATCCGTCTCTTGGAAAATGAAAAGCGAGGCTCACAACCCACTCAAACAGATACGTAGATAGGCAGAAAGGTTGATAGAAATCATGGATTATAGATAGATGGATGAATAAGTAGATAGATCGATCTAGATAGATGGATAGATAGATAGATGCAGATAGGTAGATAATTAACTCGATCGGTCGGTAGGTAGAGATCTAGAGATACATACCTAGATCGACGGATTTAGATAGATGGATAGGTAGATAGGTAGGTAGATATATAGAGACATATGGATCGATAGATAGATAGATAGACAGACGGAAAGGTAGATAGATAGGTGGGTAGATAGATAGACAGATAGATCGATAGACAGATAGACAGATAGACACGTAGACAGATAGATATAGATAGACAGACAGCCAGAGAAACAGATGGATAGACAGACAGATAGATAGACAGAGATAGATGGACAGATAGAGATAGAGATAGGGTGCTCCAAAAACACAAAGAATCATGCATAGCTTGCAGCATAACCAGCTGAACACTCCTGGAACTTTTGTAACACCGTTGGAAAAGCTAGATCCCAACACCTGGCGACCGAGGTACCAGCAACGGAGTCACGCTGTACCACCGCACCGGCGACAAGAAGGGCCAAATGGCAGGCACGCTGCTTTCGTAAGTTCTGACATAACCGCTCATGTAATATAGCGGCCGAAATATGTTCCAATACGATTCTGGGGAGTCCTTATTACGCTTATAGTATAATGGGCCCCGAAACCCTTTTCTAGTTAATAAGGCCTCGACATGAGTCGTAGGTTTTGGTTTCCTTTCATGGGTTTAGGTTTTTAGAATTAGGGTTTAGGGTTTCGGTTTTAGAGTTTATTAGTCTTCTAGGGCTCTAGGGCTCCTTCAGGGGTTCTCAGTTCTTAGGGTTTTGGATTCGGGGCTTAGATACAGTAGAACCCAGAAAGTTGGAGCATCATTATCCTCATGCCCTCAAGGTAACGTAGAGGGAATCTCAGCACTAATCATCCTAAATCCATGTTCCAACTTTCTGGTGTTCACTATAGGGTTTAGAGTTTTGAGCCCTGAAGCCTGGGCCCTGCATCCTTTCACACTGTCCCGAGTTTTCTAGTAATACCTTAGACCCCCAATACCTAACCTTTAAACTTTTTGGGCTCTTATAGTTTAGTAGGAATGGGGAAGTTTAACCTTCTATTTCTGTGGCTTACTGGGGCTAGTAAGATACTCTTTTGCCGCCTTTCTTTTTGGGTTACCTTATCAAGACCGAATAGTAGGAAAAAGGATACCCTTATCACAACGGGGCTACTCAGGAACCTAGTATAGTAGCCCCTAAAATCAGCCCTAAACCCTTGTACTATCCTTATGGGTGGTTGTCAAAATTAGGGTCCCTTCTTGGGTCCCTAATAAACTACGGCACCTGATATTTAGGGTGCTCAAAAATGGACCCTAATTTTGACAACTACCCTTCTAGATCCCTCAAGAATGAACCCTTAAGGTAAAAGCCAGAAAGTTGGAAGATGATTATCCTAAACCCTTCTAGGGTAAATTATAGGGTATCCTACCATGAAACCATATTCCAACTTTCTGGAGTTCCCTTTACCCTTATAGATCCCTCAAGAATGAACCCTTACACCGTCCAGAGGTCATAACCCCAGCTCTGGCCAGGTATCTGCAACGTCACCACGGGCACCCTCGACAGTCGCTGGGCTTTTGTTCAGAGTTTTTGGGGTTTAGGGTGTTTGGGTTCGGGGTGTTGGGGTTTAGGGTTTAGAAATCTTGGGGGGTTTCACTTGGTATACAGCCTTACTTTACTTAAGATCTTGTGAATATCCACAATCTTGGGGGCTTCTTGGCTCATCTAGGGCTGCCCAGTAGTACCCTTATTCCCTTTTTGTAGTCCTAGGTTCCTTATAAAGTTACCCAATACCAAAAAGAGAGGCCTTTTTATTCTTAGGTTACTGGGTATCCTAGTCATCCATTTCCGTACTCACGTATCCTAGGCCAGTCAGACTCATGAGTCGTTTCGAAGCCCCACTTGGAGGTTCATGGGTAGTTATACGGGTTCCTTTAAGGGCCCCTTTAAAGGGATCTATAGGGATTCTATAAGGGTATAGGGTTTAGGGTTCATGGGTAGTTATAAGTAGGGTTATAAGTAGGGTAACTATACTTATAGCCGATATTAGGGGACTTATAAGCCCAAATATAACTACCCATGAACCTCCAAGCAGAGCCTCCAAAGCCCCCTAATCAAACAATACTACATCTCTTAGACCCCCAATAATCCTAACCTTTAAGCTTTTTGGGTTCTTGTAGTTTAGTAGGAATCGAAAAGTTCAACCTTATATTTCTGTGGCGTCTTTGGGCTGAAAGATTAGTATAGGGGGCCTAACTAATTACCAGTTTTTGCGACGCTTATTGTACTTTTGCAGCATCATGAAATGGGCCTCGAAACCCTGTTCTTGTTATTGAGGCCCCTTTTTGCTATAATTAAGGAGTTTTCTTCAATCTGATTTAGGCTCGGTGCATTCCTTGTCTGACCGCCGCAAAGGTCTGGAGTGCCAGATGCCCTCGGTGGACTTGTCACACTGGGCCAGCACCCAGTTCGAGGACCTGGCAGCTGGACGGATAAGGATAGTTGGAACAATAAGGGATCTATAAGGGTTCCTTATTGGATCTATAAGGGTTCTTTAAAGGGATCTATAAGGGTTCCTTAAAGGGATCTATAAGGGTTCTATAAAGGGTTTAGGCTTAGGGTTTCCGAAAATTAGGGGCTAGGATGCCCAGTAGTACCCTTATTCCCTTTTTGTAGTCCTAGGTTCCTTATAAAGTTACCCAATACCAAAAAGAGAGGCCTTTTTATTCTTAGGTTACTGGGTATCCTAGATAACGATAGTTAGAACAGAGTTCCTGTGAAGCGATTTCAGGGATTCTGTGTGAGCTTTTATCTTTTATATGCGCGGACCTTCATGGCTGGGATGGGGTGCTGGGGTAGGCTATACTTTACCTACAGAGGGATGATGTGTATAGAGTGACACCGGGTGTTCGAGTTTACGAAGGCTCACTTGTGAATCGGACCATATTTGAATGGCTTCATAACAGTGCGCTCTGCTGTTTTGGGGATTTGGATGGATTTATCATGATTTGTTGCCAGGTGCTCCTTTTGAAAGGGGTTGATGAGAGGTCCGGTAGAGTTACTCCGGGTTTACAGTTTACGGGGGTTAGCAGAGGGTCCAATATAGGGGCCTAAAAAATTGCCAATACTACTATGGAGGTTCCTTATAAAAAGATATAGTGTATACTGGTCCCCAAAACCCTATTCTACCTATTAAGGTCTCTATACAGATTATAGTATACTGGGCCCCAAAACCCTATTCCACATAATAGGGTCCCTATACAAATAGTATATCAGGATTTTCGGGAGTAGGATGAGCACAGCCAGGTTTATTGTATACCGCTTTTTTGGTATTTACCCACCCTAAACTTCATGTAAACCCTGAACCCCAAATTTGAACCCTAAACAGTAAACCCTAAACCCCTACACCGTAAACCCCGAGGGGGGCTTAACAAAGAAAAAACCTAAACAGTAAACCCTAAGCCCTAAACCCCTAAACCCACAGACCCCTAAACCCTAAACCCTCACCCCCAGGCCCTTGAACCCCTAAACCCCTAAACCCCCAAACCCCTAAACCCTAAACCCCTAAACCCTAAACCGCTAAACCCTAAACCCCTAAACCCCCAAAACCCCTAAACCCCTAAACCCTAAACCCCCCAAAACCCCTAAACCCTAAACCCCTAAACCCTAAACCTCTTAACCCCTAAACCCCTTAACCCCTAAACCCTGAACCCAGAGCAGGAGCGCATGGAGGTCGATGTCGGGCGCTCAGCAGTTCAGTCCTCCAGGATTCCCTTTCACTATAAGGGTTTAAGGTTTAGGGTCCAGGGTTTATAGGGTTGAGGCTTTAGAGTTTAGGGTTTAGAGTTCAGGGTTTAGGGTTTATAGGGTTTGCAGGGTTTAGAGTTCAGGGTTGAGGGTTTAGGGTTACTATAGCCTCCGTAGGAGTTAGTTCCGTTTATTTTTGTTCATATAAAACCCAAGAGTTTGTTAGGCGTGTTGCTTGTATCATGGTTGTAAGCCGGGGTATAATTCAGGGAAGGTTCTAGAAGTGGAAGGGCTACTGCAAGGCTACGTTCCTACCTATATAAACCCCAAATTCTAACCTAGCTGCACAGTACACACTTAGGCCTTGAAAGGGGTTGCTTAGGGCACGAGCTTCCGGGGGTTATGAGGTGGGTGCGGATCAGACAATCCTGGGAGCAGTTTTGGATGATTTCTGCAAGTACTTAGAAACAGCGTAGACCCCATTACCTAACCTTTAAGCTTTTTGGGGTCTCTTATAGTTTAGCAGGAGTCGGGAAGTTTAGCCTTCTTGTCTGTGTCTGTATCTTATTGGGGGTAGTAATACAACAGGCGGATCCACCTAACAATTGCCAGCCTGTTTTCCTCAATTGGAGGCTTTTTGTGGAACTTAACTCCAAGGGTAAAAGGAGGGACCCTTAATAAGGACCCCTATGTATATGCCCTTAACTTTGCTATTATATACCCATTATATAGCCCCATTATACGGTAGGGGTCCCCATTAAGGGTCCCCTCCTTTTCCCCTATGACTTACTGGAGTCGACATCACCATCCCCAACTGCTCCGGCTCCCGAAATCCTGAGCCCAACATCATTGCGGCTTGGGTTTAGGGGTTAGGGCTTTTGGTTCAAGGGTTTAAAGTGTAGCATTTGGGGATTCAGGGTTTGGGGTCTAAGGATTTAGGGAGCACGTTTTTTTTGGGCGTAGCTGCCAGAATGCGGTTTGGTAGTGAGGGTTCCCGCTCGTTCAAGAAAATGTCCGTGTCCAGACCGTTGCGAACCAAGTTCATACTCTTACTGGAATCGCCACATGTCCTTCCTTTTGCAAATTGGCTCCGAAAATCATCCAAGCTCATCGAAACTTTATGGAAGGAAAAGGAGCCGTCGAAGCCAAACGGCGGTTGTATGCACCTGACGTGGCAGATGTCTGGCTGCCCCCTTGCACCCTCAACAACCCTAAACTTTAAACCATGAAAAACACGGGTCCTAGGGACACTGTCACTAAACCCTAAACCCTGTGTCATAAAATGCTTCACGGTCGCCTCCGCTCGATGGCTTTGGTGCTCTTTTCGTTAAAAGCTTCCGCAAGTGATAACGAAGACCAACCAGAAGGCCGTAATGTGGGTTTAGGGTTTAGCCAGCCAGAAGGCCGTAATACAGAATGAACTGTAGAGCTGCTTGTATTTGTGGTTTAGGCATTACCCTGAGAGTCCAACCTCTTACATGCGCGATGGGCCTGGAATCACATGAAACTCTCAACAGTTTACTGAAGCCCTAAGCCCTGCGAACCCCTAACCTTTAAACTCTAAGTCCTAACACCAAGTAGCCTAAAGGAATTGTTGTTTCGCTTAACTCGAAGGCTTTTCGGTTTAGAGTTTTGACTTTCGGGTGTATGTTTAGGATGCAGGATTGGGCTTTAGGGTTTCGGGCTTAGGGTTTTTGGGAAACAGTTGAGGGTTTAATGGGGTTTAGGGAGTCTTAGGTCAATGGTCAACGCTACGACACATCGGGCAATGCGCTACTGTTCGGCTACTCCCGCCCACGGACGCCGCTTGGCTGAAAGAAGGGTGCATGCTGTCGCGTCGTACACGGCTTTTACAGGGCTTGCAATGCAGCGCTGTTCTAAGTTTTCTCTAGTGCATTTTGAGGTTTTGTTATGAAGCTGTTGCTGCCACACATCGAATCCTCGTGCAGTTTAAACTAGGGGGCATTCCCGAATCGATGACGTTTGTGTTCTGTGGGTTCCTACATCTACAAGCAAGCCTTGGTGGTTGAGGCTTTAGGTTGCTGGGTTTAGGGCCTGGGGTTTAGGGGATTAGGGTTTAGTGTGGAGGCTTTAGGTTGTTGGGTTTTCGGCTATACCCAATATACCCTAACACCCGTAGGGCTCAGGGAGGAAAGTTTGAGACCGTATGCGTCACAGCCCTTCCCACAGTTCGATATGATATGTACTTGTGTATATGTATACATGAACTTCTGAGTACATGCATATATGCATGCATGTAGGCACGTAGATATGTAGGTATGTCGGCACATAGGTATTGATGCACGGATGGATGGATGGATGGATGGATGGATGGATGGATGGATGGCAGATGGATGAATGTATGAATGTATGACTTCGAGAGTTGTATGTATGTATGCATGTGTGTATGTATGTATGCATGCATGCATGGATGTATGTATGTATGTAGGTGCGTAGGCATGTATGTGTGTATTTGTGTATGTATGCATGCATGCATGTATGCATGTATGTATGTACGTATGTATGTATGCATGTATGTATGTATGTATGTATGTATGTATGTATGTATGTATGTATGTATGTAGTATGTGTGTATATATGTATGTATTTCTTTTATATATATATATATATATATATATATCATGTACATATTGGCGCACGTGTGGTCTGCAGACATGCATATGTATGAATACTTAATATCTGCATAAACGGGTAAATATGTATATACATATATACATGCCTACCTACATGAAAATGTTCATGCGGGTATACATAAACATATATGTATGCATATGTGTATGTAGGCAGGTATGTACGCATATTGGTATCGAGATATAAAGATACCCCCCCGCATTTGGTGGACACGCATGAGTGTGTGTATGTTTATATAGACATGCAAAACCGTGCATATATACATGCATCCATCCATCCATCCATCCATGCATCCATCCGTCCGTCCATCCATCCATCCATCCATCCATCCATCCATCCATGAATGCATGCATGCATACTTACTTTTGAATATGCATATACATCTACAAATCGCACTCAACCACGTCACTCAGCACCTGAACCTCCTTCATCACCTGAGATCCCCCTGCCAGGCCGATCGTGAAGCAAGTGATTCCAAGTGCACCGCGGCAACGAAACCTTTTGGGCTCAGTGTTCTGCAAGGGTTTGATTGATCTAAAGCAGGTGTCCATTTCGACTTTTTGAAAGGCTTCTCTACAAGGGTTCTATGTTTGTAATGAGGAAGGGGACTGGATGAAGGGAGTTGGGTGGGACCTGAAAGTGTACAGAGATCCTCGATACTCTTATGGTTTAAGGCAGAAGAAAACCCGCAAGCTTGAAGGTTTTGACGTTTCTTTAACTAACTGTTTGGGGTTTGGGGTCTAGGTTCGGGGTTTAGGGTTCCGTGTTCCATAGGGGTTCTACATGGGTTGTAGGGCTTTGAGGAGGTCCGACTTGGGATTGTTGGGTTTAGCATGTGAAACAGACCTGGGCATTAGGAAGTAAAGACACCCGCAACCCTAAACCCAAAGCCATAGACCCTACACCCTATACACCCCACATCCTAAACCCTGAACCCAAACCCTTAAAGTCAAAACCCTAAACCCTAAATCCCAAACCCTACCCCCAGAGACTGCAATGTCCCTCAATTAAGGAAGATTCCTTAAGTCATATTAGGGATCCTACCATAGTTTAGGGTATATTCCTTGATTAAGGGATATTGGACTAAACCCCAAGGGGGCCCTTTGAAATGACGAGCCCAGGAGCTCTCCTTCGCCGTGACCTCCAACGTCACCTTGGTGGGTTTCAACTTCGGCTTGCTCAAGCGAGAGGCGGACGGCTTGGGATATTGGATAATAGACTTAGACCCAAGCTTTAAAGGGTTCCTTTAAAGGGTACTATAAGGGCTCCTTTAAGGGATCTATAAGGGATCTGTAGGGCTTTTCCTAGACCCCCAATACCCAACCTTTAAACTTTTTTGGGTTCTTATAGTTTAGTAGGACTCGGAAAGTTAAACCTTTTATTTCTGTGATGTAGGGTAATAGAGCATTATACAGCATAATACAGGGATGACGTAGGCTAATATATAGTACAGGGCAATATACTATAGGATGGCATAGTGCAGTATATAGGGCAATCGAGTAGACTTTGCAGTACAGCTTCGGACTGCGTAGTACATATTTGATACAGCAAAGTCTAACATAACACAGCTCAGCATAGTCTGGTACAGTGTAGCACATTATATAACACGCAACATGACTGGGGTATTAAGTATCCAGCCATTTTAAGGTTGGCTTTCCGGGTTCCGGGCGTATCTTGTAAGCTTTGCACAGGGTTCAGGGTCTTAGGGTTTCGGGTTGAGGGCGTTAGGATGTTCAATAGATTGGTTTCAGGGTGCTGAGTTGGGAGTCGGAAGTCTACGAAACCCCGCCCAGAGATTCCAGAGCGCATCATCTGCGCAGCAAAGTCATCTAAGCTTTTAGACGCTAGACCTCTTATGCTTTAAATCCCAAACCCCAAATCCAGCGAAACCTTTTGAAGCATCAAAACCCGAAGCCACCCCCCCGCATAGGACAGCGTTGCGCTGCGCTGTGTTGTTTGTTTGGTTGCTGTAGTCAAAACAGAGTTTCGATTGCCAGTAGGTTCAGGGTATACGGTTTAGGCACCAACCCCCAAACCCCAATACGGAACCACGAAAGCGTGTCTCTTAAGAAACCACATTTCGCTAGACCCGCACAACACCGGATAAAGAGCCTCGAACACAAACCTTGATCCCTTGTAACAGTCAATAAAGACCCTCCAAAGCGCCCCAATCATGAAGAAATCCTAAATCCTAAACCTTGGAGCCGAATTAAACCCACCGCAAGAAAGAACACTCAACTAAACTCACAGACTTTAGACTAGGATGCCCAGTAGTACCCTTATTCCCTTTTTGTAGTCCTAGGTTCCTTCTAAAGTTACCCAATACCAAAAAGAGAGGCCTTTTTATTCTTAGGTTACTGGGTATCCTAGCCAACTATACTCACAGACTTTAGATCTGACGGCATCAACCTGTTGAACCCGGAGCCTTTAGACTCTCAGGCCCTCATCCCTGAGCCTCTAAACACCTAGCGCTTTGAGACCCAGAGACCCTACCTTAAACCCAAACCCAGAGGGTCCAAGTACCCAAATAGTAGGGTTTTAGGTCCCAAAATCCATACCCAGAATGGTTTTTGGACCTTGAAACCCTACTCTTTGGGTACTTGGAGAGAACGTACCGTTTTGGACTTATATAAAGAAATCATATTGGGGAACCCTAAAGAAAGGTAGGTTCCTTAGGGTCCAGGGAGATCCTAACTCCTAAACCTAAAACCTTGTGACTTTGAGTCGTCCTTGAATTTTGGCTCAAACGTCCAGAGAGCCTCCCCGTGGTCTGTGAAATGAGCCACCCAGACGAAGCTTTGTTTTTCTGCTGACAGCGAGGGTTCGGGATTTTGGGGTTGAGGGTTTTATCAGGCTTTTTGGGTTCCTTAAAGGGATCTATAAGGGTTCCTTAAAGGGATCTATAAGGGTTCTGTAAAGGGTTTAGGGTTTCCGAAAATTAGGGGCTAGGATGCCCAGGAGTACCCTTATTCCCTTTTTTGTAGTCCTAGGTTCCTTATAAAGTTACCCAATACCAAAAAGAGAGGCCTTTTTATTCTTAGGTTACTGGGTATCCTAGATTAGGATGTAGGGTTAGGGTTGTATGGGGTTTAGGGTTTCCTTAGGGTTTAGGGTTTGAGGGTTTAGTGTGTCATTCTGTTTGGGGCTCTAGGCTGTTAAACTGTTAGGGGTTAGGCTTCAGGATGTAGGGGTTCAGGTTCAGGTGTTTGATGTTTTCGTCTGTGCTGTTTTTTTGGGGGAGGGAGTCTCGTGAGGTTTTCCGTCATGAGCAAGGTGTTGGTTCTCCTGGCCCTTGTTCAGAACCCTAAACCCTACCCGTAGCCGAAACCACGTACCTTCTTAGGGATCCTTTGTGTGACTTCGATATACGATTCCTTAAGAAAGGTAGGCTTTTTCGGGCCAGAGGTGAACCCAATGAAAGGGCTTAGGTTCATGCACGATAGCTGCCGCAAGGGACCAGAGAAGCCAGGGTTTTCTCATTTGGCAGCTTGTTGCTGTAAGGGGGATGGCCTAGGCGCTAAACCTGAAGCCCGAAGCCCTAAATGTGACACACGCCGCCGCATCATGACATGGGAGTTTGAGGGCTCGCGCAACTTTTAGTTAGCTTACTTGCTTCACGGTTTAGCTAAGTGTTTAATGAGAGCCCCATTGGGAAGGTCGTTTGGAGGGATCTTTGCAGGTTTTCCTTTGAAACTAGGAATGCCCCAAACCCTAAAACACCCTAAACCCTAACTCCCTAAGCCCTAAAACCCCCTAAACCTTAAACCCCCTAAACCCTAGAAACCCCTAAACCCTAAACAACCCAAACCCTAGAACCCCCTAAACCCTAGAACTCCCCAAACCCTAGAACCCCCTAAACCCTAAACGCCCCTAAACGCTAGAACCCCTTAAACCCTAAACCCCCTAAACCCTAGAAACCCCTAAACCCTAAACGCCCCAAACCCTAGAACCCCAAACCCTAGAGCCCCCTAAACCCTAAACGCCCCAAACCCTAAGCTCCCTAAATCCTAAATTCCCTAGACCCTAAGTTCCCTGAACCCTAGAGCCCACTAAACCCTAAACCCTAAACCCCTTTAAACACCCCTAAACCCTAAACTCCCGAAATCCTAAACTGCCTAAGCTGTTACTTCTGGGAACTTGATCTCGGACTCCAAGCACATGAAGCCTCGCTCGTCCTTTCTGCCGTAGATATGCAAAGCATCTGCACTTTACTTTGTGTTTGGAGTTTTAGGGTCTTAGGAAGGGTTAAGAGTTTCGGGAAGTTTGTGGTTTGGGGATCATTTGTCGGTCCATATGTACAATTCTTCATATATATATATATATAGAGAAAGATAGACAGATATGCAAACAGCAATTAGTCTGTCTGTTTGGCCGTCTGTCTGTCCGTCTGTCTGTGTTTCTGTCTGTATGATTCTGTATGCATATATGTGTACGTAATGTTTTGTAGGTAGGGAGGCACGGACATACGAACGCACGGACGTCGCTACATAGCGGGTAGGTAGGTTGGTAGGTAGGTAGGTAGGTCTGCATACAATAGATCCCCCAGTACATCATTGCGGGCGGCGGCAACTCGGAGATGCAGCAGATCATCGTGCATGCTTTGAGGACTGCTTTGCCCTGTCGAAACCTAGTGCCTTTTTTGGGCAGGTTGCGTCGACTACCACCCAGGGATTATCGGACCGGACGCTTCCGATGCGGGCTGCCTGGGCAGACAGCTAGCTTGAGAGATAGACGGTCCTGTGAATGTGTACCTGCAAGGTATACGTATACATGACAGAGGCAGACGGAAGGAATACGGACTTGTGTCTATACTTGTGCACAAATGTCCGATAACGTTCTGCACTTATGCCTGCAAACCTCGCGCGTGCTGCCCTAAAAAGGAAGAGCAAGCGGAATGAGCAGAACAGGCAATTCAGACGATCTTCAAACTCTTCAAGCCAAGTCTAGCCTCGTAAGTACCCACAGAAACTCAAATGTCCACGGGGCCAAATTATGGATACATACACCCTAAACCCTCAACCCTAAACAGCCAGGGTGCCGATGGATTGCTTCGGTGCTCCTCCTTACATGTGCCTCGGGAGAGCGGATCGAACGCGCGCAGGCACCGGGTTGAGCCTTCTGGGGCTTTTGCTTAGACCCCCAATACCTAACCTTTAAGCTTTTTGGGTTCTTACAGTTTAGTAGGAATCGACAGTTTAACCTGCTGTTTCTGTGGCTTATTGGGGTTGTAAGTTTGTGGAGTAATATAGGTGCCTCAATAGTTCATTGCCTTTATATACTGTTTTGGGAGTTCCTGATTATAGTTATAGTATAATTTACCCCAAAACCCTATTCCAATTAGTAAGGTCCCTACTTTAGAGTCTGAGGGTTTGGGGTTCTTTGCAAGTCTCTTGGGGTCTGTGCTCCGGATGGTGAAACCGCTTAGGGTTCCTCGGTTCGGTCATCGAGGGTCTTTTGCAAGGCAACTCCGGCTTTCATTGTAGCCTTAGGGCCTTAGGGGTACTTAGATTTGTTTTTTAAGTTTTGGTTATTATAGTCCCTAAGAAACAGCTAAAATTAAGATTGTGGCTAGGGTTCTAAGTTCAGTATAACCTTTTCGGCCTCTTCTTCAGTTCTATGGCTTAAATCGTACAAGTGGTTGCGAACAGACACGCGCTGCAACGAAGACTGCGGATCGCTTGTCGCTGTACCTATTCAGGCCTTCTTTCTCAAGCCTTAAGTTCTCTTTCCGTAAACCTCAAACTGTTTTAAACCCCATCAGGAATCCATGAAGACCCTTTTGTGACATCCTTATGATTTTGCTTTTGTAGCACTTTTAACACCATGATGGAATGCCCTAATCCGGGCCCTAATCCCTCTTTGAACACCTGAAGCCATACAAAAAACATCAGCCAATGATTTTTAAGTTTTGTTAGCCCGAAATCCCCCTAAACCCAAAGCCCCAAACTCTGAACCCTCTAAACCCCTAAACCCCAAGCCCTAAACTCTAAACTCAAAGCCCTAAACCCCCAAGCCCGCTAAGCCCCAAACTCTGAACCCTACACCCCCAACCCTAAACCCAAAAGGCCTAAACCCCAAGCCATTGGTTATGGTAAACCCTAACGCCCCCAAGCCCAATAACCCCTACGGCGTAGGGGGCCTACGCCCTAAACTTCAAACTCCAAACCCTAAACCGTGAAACCCCCAAGCCCAGTAACCCCTCAGCCCCAAACTCCAAACTCCAAACCCTAAACCCAAAGCCCTAAGCTCTAAACTCCAAACTCCACCCCCCCGAACCCTAAACCCTAAACCCCAAACCCCAAACTCCAAACCCTAAATCGAAAAGTAGATCCCTTAATGGAGGTTCCTATAAAGTACCCATAGGGCCCCAAATTAGAGGATCTACTCTTCGAGATCCTACTTGGAGGGTCGGGGGACTTAGTAACTGGTTATTTTAGGGACTTATAAGTACCACAACCCCAATTAGGGTCCCTTTTAGGGTACTTATACGGCTACTTACTACCTACTTACTAAGTCCCTGAACCCCTAAACCCTAAAATACTACCCTTATAGAGCCCTTTAAAGGAACCCTTAGAATCCCCTTACTAAGTCCCCTAAAGACCCTCCAAGTAACCCCTAAACCCCAGAGGCGAGGCCAGCCAAGGCGGCCAGGGCCACCATGAGAGAGGCCGATACCACCGGATTTTTTTTTTCCGCGGGCGTCGGAGCTTTAGAGTTTAAAGTTTAGGGTTTAGGGCACCGGGGCTTTAGATTGAAGTTTGAGCTTTTTGTAGCTTTTTTTATAGGGTAGTTCATAGGGTTTAGGGTCTCGGGCGCGCCGATGTTTTGTTTCAGTTTCGGGAGTGTTTATATACGAGGTGGTCTGTAGGGATTCTAAGCGATCTATTAGGGGGGGAGCTTTCATGGTTTAGTTTTTGGGGTTTAGTTTCGGGTTTCCCGGCTTTGGGTTCATGATTTAGGCCTTTAGGGTGTAGGTGTTCAGGAATAGCTCCGCTTTGTCGGGGAGTTTGGAGAACCAGTAGTTCTGGGCATTGAATTCATGTTGCGACTGAATGGAGGGCTCAAAGTCTACAGTAAGACAGTCTGAAAGAGGCTGAGAAGCATCAGCTTGTGCCTACTCTGTACGACGGATCTGAAACATCCAACCCTAAACCCCTAAATCTCAAACCCCAAAGCCCCAAATCTTAAACCCCAAAGCCCCGAATCTTCAATCCCAAAGCCTTAAAACTTAAACCCCACAGCCTTTAAATCTCAAACCCCAAAGCCCTAAATCTTAACCCCTACCTTAACCCCAAATAGCCTGCCTGTTTAAGGACTTGTATAAGGAAATCAGAACCCGGAACCCCAGAAAGGAGGGTTTCGTAGGGTCCAGGTAAACTCGTAAAAGGGCCCCTGAGCCTCCCACTTCCAGGCTTTAAGGAGGTCAGCCAGGAAGTCGGAGGGTTCCTTTTCTTCTAAGGGATCCTACAAGGGATCCCAAAAAGGGATCTATAAGGGGTCCTTTAGAGGGATTTATAGGGTTGAGGGTTTAGGGTAAAATCATGTCCTGCATGGACCTTGTAAAAAGTTGTGGGGCCCGTTATGCTATTATCATAAGGAGCCCCTCCATATAGTATTGGTTATTATTTCGGCCCTTATAGTTAGGGGTTTAGGGTAAGATCGTATCATGCATGGACCCTACATATTCTAGTTTCCTTATGTAAGGGCTTGAGAAGGCGACTTATTTCGGGTTCAGGGGGACGGGTGGTTGTCAAAATTAGGGTCCCTTTTTGGGTACACTAAATGGTGGGTGCCGTGCTATATTTGGGACCCCAAAACGGAACCATAATTCTGACAACCACCCATGCGCGCGAGTTACCAGGATGATGTTGAATATGGGCTGCATTTCAAGCTGCTGACAACGCCAGAATGAACGAGTTTCCAAACCCTACGCCCTAAAGCCTGAACCCGAAACCCGAAATCCTAAATCACAAACCCCAAACCCCAAGCCCTGAAATGAGAGCGCAGCACAAGCATCGCCTGTGCCCAGGCCTTGCAGAACACTGAGGCTCCTTGCTTCAAGCTATAGGCTTACCGACTAGGCTCCAAAGTAGCTCCTTTTGGGATTTAGGGCTCAGGGGGATTAGGGGGATTTTCAAGGTATAGAGGGGGCTTACCGACTAGGTTCCTCACAGTCGGGTTTGCCGGCAGGCGTTTAGTTTCTGTTCAGGGTTTATAGGGTTTATAAGGTTTAGAGCCTAGGGTTTAAGTCTTATAGTAGCTACCCACAGGCTGCATAGTAGTTCCGTTTGGGGGGTTACCTTATAGGATTGTAAATACGAGCCCCAATAGGAACTACCATGAAGCCTATGTGAAACCAAAAGATAGGGTTTCGGGTTCGCCCGGGTTTTGGGTTTAGGGAATTGGGCCAAAATTCCGAAGCCCCAAGGAACAGTAGTACTGCTACTTGTTCATGCTTTTTGGACTACATAGGGCTTTAGGGTTTAGGGATTCAGGGTTGAAGGGGCGATCCAGAAACCCGTAACCCCGAGGCTTTAAACCTGTAACACCGCACTCTAGACCGTAAGTCCGACCTTTGGGAGTTTCCGAAAATTAAGGGTACCTTATTTGTGGGTCTTTATAATAAGGATCCCACTATTTTGGGTACTATATTAGGGTCCCTTCTTTTCGGAAACTCCCTCCAAGCTTAGCGACTTCCGGGTTCAGTGACGACCTTTCCTGGAGGCTCAGATGGAGCAGTCTTTGGCGGGTTCAGGATTTAGGCTTTGGTTTAGGGTTCAGGGTTTAGGGTTTAGGGTTTGATTCCGGGTTTGGGGTTTAGGGTGTGGTTTAGGGTTTAGGTTTTAGGGCTTGGTTTAGATTCTAGGGTTTAGGGTTTAGGGTTTGGGGCTGGGCCGGTTTTCGGTATTCCCAGCAGTGGGGGTTATACAGTTATGCAATATACAAGCTCGAAGCCAACAGATCCTAATCTCCATGCCGCTCTGGCTCCTCCCATCGTCACTATTCATTAAATCATGAAGCCCTAACCTTATGAGCCTCGGCCGCTGCTGCTGTTTTGCTGGTAAACCAAGCACAATGCCCATAAAGAGAGCAAGCACTCCAATTCAATATCTGTTGGGTACGGCCCCCACTCAGCAATAGTTGAATAATATTCATAATAATAGACACATTAGGACCTTAATAGTAGCCCTACTATAGACTCGTACTGTATGGGGGCAGTACCTAAAGTAGCTGCGACGAGAACTGGGATCCCTAGTACTACCCCAACACCTTTTCTCGTTTTGGGGTGCAAGACTGAGAAGGCCCCAGCATCACAAAGAGGATGCTGTGGAAGCTGAAACCCTAGAAACATTAAACCGTCAGCCTTCAGGTATATAGGGGCCTATAATCTTACCTATCTTACTTTGGGGGGTTCCTTATAGTCATGGTATTATAATAATGGGCCCCAAAAAACCCCACTGCAATTGTTAAGGCCCCTATATTACCCTCACGACAGCCGTTTTTCAGAAGTCCCCAAAGCCTGATTAAGACCCTGTCGCTTTACGTACACCTTACAGTACGCAACCTTTGACAGAACCCCATGCATCCCAGAAAAAGTTTAGGGTTTAGGGTATCCCAGAAAAGTTTAGGGCTGCTGCCATAGAAACCTGAACAGATCGTAATACTATTCCTGAGGCTTGCTTGTTGTAACTTGTAAAATCACCTCAAAGCCTTGTTCGACGTGTTGCATACATCCGAAACCCGCCTTTACAGGAGACCTTGCAATGGAACCCGCCCCTTAGCTTGATGTCTTATAAAAACCCAAGCCCCTGAACTTCTGAACTCTGCATGCTTAAATCCCATACTTCGCGCGCAGAGGACACGGAAACCCCGAGGAAGGGGAAGGTCAAGTACGTCGAGGAGCAGTTTCGGATTTTGGGGTTGAGGTTCAGAGTTTGGGGATCTAGGGTTGCAAGGTTTCGGGCCTAGGGTTTTGATTAATTAGGATTTAGGATCTAGGAGTTTTGGGTGTGGAGATTCAAGATTTAGGGTTCCGGTTCTGGGCTCTGATCCAGCAATAGAGAATCCCCTAAGGCGTCAATACAGAATCGCTGCCACGCGAAGTGCTGAGATCGCGGAGCCTGAGCCGTAAAACTTGAGGCGTCCGTCCCGATAAACTCTACACCCTGGAGCGCTACCCTAAAGCCCAACCCCTCAATCTAAAACCCTGCACCTCGTGCCTTGCATGCCAAGCACTAAGCCCGATGGCTTAAGCCTTACCCATAGGCTCCATAATAGTTCCTTTTTGGGGTTCATATTGATAATCCTATAAGGTAATCCCAAAACGGAACTACGGGGCCTATGGGTAGAGCACGGGAATCCTGGAAACGTCAAAGCTTTCTCAACACCTAAGGCCACCAACAACCAACAACATCCCGGAAACCCTCAAACATACCCAAGAGTGCCTCCAAACCCGTGCCACCAAACAAAATCTCCAAGTCCTAAAACCCTATACCCCAAACGCCTATACCCCTATGCCGCATATGCCCCAAACCCCTAAACCTCTGAACCCCTAAACCCCTAAACCTAACCCAGACAAAAACCCTAAACACTAAACCCTATAGATCCCTTATAGAGCCCTTATGCATCCCTTGAAGGAACTCCCAAAAACCCCTATATAAACCCGTAAGCCCTAAACCCAAAACATCAGGAGAAGCTGAAGATCGAGCGCGAGGTCGTTGCGCCCTTCGTGGCCAAAGCAAAAACGATCCCAGAAGCTTGCCCGAATTAGGGGTACCCTATTGTGGCGTCCTTAGAATATATTGGATTCTGCTATTTAGGGCAATTACATGGGCTTCTTGCGTTTCTATAGGGCGTTTAGGGCGGAGGGTTTAGGATTTAGGGTTTCGGGATAAATTGGGTGTTAAAGGGCTTAGCTTCGACGAATCCATGGGCTTCTTGCGTTTCAACTCCTGACTTTAGGGAGTCCGTAAAGAAATCTACCCAGAGGCTCCAAAGTAGTTCCTTTTTGGGGTTACCTTATAGGATTCTAAATATGAACCCTAAACGGGGAACTACTATGGAGCCTTAGGGTATAGGGGTTCGGTTCAAAGGGATCCATTGGCTTCTTGCGGTTCTTTGAGGGTTTCCGTTTTAAGGCTTTCACATAGGTTTTTTTGCACGGTTTAACACCGAAGCCGTGGATATCTTGGGGGTGATAGGATTTAGGGTTACATTTAAGGATTTAAGGTTCAGGGTTTGTGGATAGGCTTTTATAGGTTCTAACAGGGAAGCTTTGCCGAATCCATGGATATCTTGGGCGTGTTAGGGTTTTACGATTTAGGGCTTAGGGTCTAGTGTTAGTAAAGACGACGCCAGAAGCTTCGCCGTACTCAGCTGTTTAGGGCTTGTCGGGTTTTGCGGTTTGGGATTCCCATTGAAGGGTTCTTCTCAGGGTTTCTGTAAGGGCGCCGAGCATGGGGCTTTCCTGTGTGTTTTAGATTGGTTTCTTTTTGTCTGTTTTTACTAAGACCTGGTTAATTACCATACTTGAATACTTTTTTGGTACCTGTTCTTTAAAGGAGCCATTATGAAATAAAAGCCTGTATTTTTTCTCCCTGGTTAGTTCAAAGTCCAGAAGAAGCTCCGCCGAACTCCGCCGCTTAAGGCTCCGAGAGGCTCAGGATTTCCGGGCTGAGGTTGAGGGATGTCGCTGGGTTTGTAGAACCCTCGGGGTTCCGACTGGTTTTTAACTCATGGGGTTTCATGTTTTAAATCAGGTTTTAGAGGGCTTACTAGGTTTCATGGGTTGTTTATAGGTGTTTCGGGTTGTGAAGCTCTTCACGTACTTTACCAAGAGGTTTCGTAGGGTTTAGGGAATGTTTGTTTAATTGGGTTTTGTAGGGTTTTGGGATGTTGCCCTCATGGGGTTTAAGGGTTCCCTTTCATGCTTCCTGTTTGATTGGTTTATCGTGCTACAGGGGTTTAAGTTTTTCCGGGTTTGGAGACTTAGGAGTTCAGGGCCATTTTGGGGTTTAGTGCTCTCGAGTCTAGGGTAAGGGGGCTTAAAGCATCGGGGTTGAGGGCTTTGGGCATACCGAGGGCTTAGGGCTCGGGTGTGCGGCTTAGGCTTGGGGCTGCAGGATTTTTGAAGGTCAAGGGTTTAGGGCTTAGGGTTCTAGGCCTTAGGGTTTAGAGTTTAGGGTCTCGTTCTGTTTTCTCTTTAGTTCTTTTGTTCAATGTTTTCCATGCTACAGTTGGGCTCTAGACTATTAAGGTTCCGTAGCGTTGCATGGGTCCGCCGGGGTTAAGATATTCACCCAATGGCCCAAGCTTGTTTGGCATTTTCTGTTATGTCGCCTTTGGCCCGAATCCTACATGTTTGCAATCGAAACCCAAACTCAACCTTTCACCTAAACCACCCCGAGCCCTATACCCCAAGCCGTCAATCCCTGAAGCCTAAACGCTAAGCCCTTCACTGCAAATCGAAACCTAAACCCTACATCCCGGACAATCTAAACGCAAAGCCCTGCACCCTAAACCCTAGACCCTAAAAGCTAAACACGCCTAAATCCCCGAACCCCAAGACCCTAACCCCGGATACCCTAAACCCTAAATTTAAACCTAACAAGCTCTTAAGCCCGGATACCCTCAAGCTCGAAATTTCAGGCTGCAGATACCAGCGCCAAACAGAAGGCCCGCCGATGATTCTGCGGTTTCAGGGTTAGGTGTGTGACGCCCTTCAAAACAGGGTTTAGGGGTTTCGGGTTTGCGGTTCAAAGGTTTGGGGTTCAAGGGTTTAGGGTGCCGGCAGTGCAGGGTTTAGGGGTTTCACGGCCGTGCATCCCAAGCAGTTTGCCTGTGATGATCTACTAGGATGCCCAGTAGTACCCTTATTCCCTTTTTTGTAGTCCTAGGTTCCTTATAAAGTTACCCAATACCAAAAAGAGAGGCCTTTTTTTTCTTAGGTTACTGGGTATCCTAGTCTATATGGGACCCGAGTTTCGCAGAAGCGTGCTTGAGTACGGCACGAAGGTGAACAGCAGAACTCCAGGGGCCTCCAAAAGGGTGGGATGAACTTAGACCCCCAATACCTAACCGAAAAGCTTCTTGGGTTCTTGTAGTTTAGTAGGGTTTAGGGTTTAGGGTTTAGGGTTTAGGGTTTAGGGTTTAGGGTTTAGGGTTTAGGGTTTAGGGTTTAGGGGTTTAGTAGGCGTCGGAAAGTTTAACCTTATATTTCTGTGGCGTCTTTGGGCTAGTAAGTGAACCTACGTACGATGCTTAAAGGCTCGTCTATTTGGCCTTAATCCGATTTCACACTTTATGGGGTTTACTGCAAATATAGAGGAACCCTTGTAGAACTCTTAAAGGAACCTTTCAATGAGTCCTTGTAGCAACTCTTACAGGAGCCCCATTTACGAGACCGGGTCGCTGTATGAGTGTGCTTTTTCAGCGTTGTGGTAACAGTTGCTTCAGCAAGGGTTTTCCATAATAAGTTAGATGAGGAGAATATACTTTCGTCCCACACCTGCGGGGAGACTTTTGGCAGATGATGGGCCTTCCCGAATGTTGGTATCTGAGATTCGTGGTTTTGTGGTTTTGCTCATGGATCCCACCGATGTAAACTTACTAGCTGAATGAGACCTTACGCAGAGAGTATAACTCTCCTCAAAACTACGCATTGAAAGTTAACCTTCTTGGTCTTAGCATAGAAGCCATGCTGCAGAGAACATTCCTAAACCTTAAACCCGAAGCTCTAACCCCACATCCTAAAGCCCTCAACCCTAAACCCATAAGCCCACCTCCGAACCTGGCACAGGCAGTATGAAACAGGTGTCCTTGTTCGAAGTCCTGGGAAAAAATAAGCACCTGGGAAGCACTAGGGCATAGAGCACCATCTGTTCCTTAGACGGACAGCGCGGGACTCAGGTTTGTTGGATGGAGTGTTGATGTTGGCTGTTCCAACCGCCAAAAGGTGAAAAAGATCGCGATGGCTGCCATCCGGGATGCAAATGACAGGGCTATCATCCACAACATTGAGGGTTACCTGCGCAAGTGCGATGCTAGTCAGCTGTCCCACATCAGCAGCCCCGCTCGAACCTGCCAGCTTTGCTTAATGAGCCTCTTTATATCGGCTGATTTCACGATGATACATCATCAGCCTGGTGGGATGCCAGAGTGCACTGCCTTTGGCTGTGGACCCAGCTTATCTGTTCCCAACAGGTTAACCTGTGTTGGGTTGGGGTAGTCAGCTGTAACACTAATGGCCCCTCTGAGTACCTTTCGCAATGGTATAACGTACCCCGAAACCTGATGCTAGTCCGTACGGCCCCCTAAACAAACCATCTATAAAAACTCTTACAAAACCATATAAGCCCTTCAAAGATTCCTTTGCCAGTTGGCCTTTATCTTCCTCACAATGCGGGAGCTTCAGTGGCACAGTTTGTGGGAACGCCTCTTGGCTGGGTTTACAAGGGATGTGGTGTTCAGGGCTGGTTTAGGAGCTGTACAACGGATTCCCGGTTTCGGGATTTATAGGGGCTTCATCAGTTTATGATGAGGTTTTCTAGGGTTTTATCACGGTTACTGTAGGGGTCTGGGGGTTCCTTATTATATAGAGTTACAGTCATAGTATAATGGCCCCAAGACCCTATTCTAATTATTAAGGCCCCGATATTAGTGCTTCTGATGATCTGCTGGTGGTGTCCTTTTGGTCTCCCGGTTGTCTGCCGGTGGTCTCTTGGTGTCTGCCGGTGAAGTCTTGATGGTCGCTTTGAAGCCGCCTGTTGTCCGAACCCTAAAGCCCAAACCCGGGGCCTTCGCAACCAACGCCCCGGCGTTCGCGACCTGCTCCTGATGGCAGGTTCTGGTATGATCTTTCACTGTTTGGACATCTCCGCTAGTATATTGATAAGATTTTCCAAAGGTTTGAACGAAGGCATTGATGAGGATACTATCAGGCTTTTTACTACATACTGCTCCGCAGGGCATTTATATCCGTTTGGGATCGTAGCAATTGTAGGTTCGTGTTGCTGACTATTGGGTACAGGGGCACCAAAACCACATTGTAATGGTCGTCTATTCATTATTACACGGGTTATTGAGCACCCTGACCCAAACCCTGGAACCCGAAACCCTAAACGACACTCTTACGTATCGTGGAGTCGCTGAACCTGGATTCAACCCACAGTGAACGGGAAGGAGCTAAACGATGAACCGGAGCTTGAGTTGGGGACTCGATTCCTTCAAACGCATCCTACAAAGACTACACGCGAATCATCAACAAAATGCGTATGGACCTCATCACAGCCTTTATAAACCAAGACAAAGTTCCACTGCCTTAACATATTGAGGACGTTTCAACGGAAAAGCCCTATAACATATTTGTGCATGGCCTCTGGCCCAGTTCCTGTTGGAGCAGCGTGCCAGGCTTTTTCCAGGACGCCCCTGTCGGTGAGTATTCCATCTACGTACACCAGGCAAGCGCAGTGAGCCACCACAGAAACCCCCGAACCCCAAACCTTCCTTTAGTGGACCTGCCTTCAGGTATTACTATGCAGGATCCTATATTCCTAAACTCTACATCCCAACATTTGTAAAACAACAGGCCTTACACCCTAAGACCCTAAACTTTGTGAGTCGGATCATAAACATGGCTTCAGCTAGGATGCCCAGTAGTACCCTTATTCCCTTTGTGTAGTCCTAGGTTCCGTATAAACTTACCCAATACCAAAAAGGGAGCCCTTTGTATTCCTAGGTTATGGGGCATCCTACAGCAGTCAGTTAGTGAGTTTGGATTATTCAGGGGCCCGATTGGCCTGAAGAAGAAAGCCCCAAGCCTCAGCAGCTGAGGATTGAGTTTAGCTACGCCCCCTGTTCTTCAGTATCCTTATAGTAGCCCTTATACACAACCCCCCCAATTCCTGCTATAATAATTTAGGCCCCTATATTAGGAAACTTTAGCTTTTCCTTGTTTCGGGCTTCCTCGAAGTGGTCCATAAGGGGTTCTACACAGGTTCGGGGTTCAGACACCGTCGATCTTCGAGGGCCGGGGTCTTCCTATAAAGGCGAACCCTATAGATCCCCTTAAAGGAGTACCCAAAGGAACCTTTAAAAGGTACCTTTAGAGGAAGTTTAGTCCCTGAAGGAACCCATAAAAGGTACCCTTAGAGGAAGTCTGCAGGATTCCAAAAGAGGGGTCGGTATGACTCGGAGTCGCCTCTCTTGATAGCCCGGGCTTTGGAATACCATACATTAACACTTTTTCTCAAACCTGTTCCTTAACCTAGCAGTAGAGTAGGTAACCTTTAACATCCTGTAGCCTTTTCTGGGTAGTATGGTCCCTATATAGTCCCTAAAAAGGTCAACCTTTAGTTCCCCCTGATACCCGACAAGCAGGTTAAAGGGACCCATTATGGAATAAACGTCTATACCTTTATCTCCATGGTTACTGCAAAGTCCAGCAGCCCCAGACCTTCAAAAGAATTGGACTATACTGCATCCCAAAACCCTGTTCAAATTCTTCATCCAGGGTTCCAAGTTAAGTATAGTTCAGTATATCCCCAACATTCCGTCCTAGGGCTTGAGGGTTGAGGCTTCGGCGTTTTAGTCCCTCGCCCTGTGGACGTTTTTCAGAACCTGGTTTCAACCGAAGATGGTCCCTAAGCAGCAGGTTCCTTAAGCCCCAGACCCCAGACCCCATGAACGCCAAACCCTAAGCCCTAAACCCTAAACTCTAAACCCTATAAACCCTAAACCCTAAACCCTAAACCCTAAGCCCTGAAGCCCTAAAACCTAAACCCTGGAGCCCTAAACCTCGAAGAAGGGAAGCTCATACCTGAAACATTTCTTTCGGCTCAGTAGGGTGTAGGTCTTAGGGTTTAGGGGTTTAGGGATTTAGGGATAAGGTGGATTCCAGAAAGCACGAATTCTGACATTTTTTGTTGCTTGTTGGGACATCCTGGGCTTCAAGAAAGAAGGGGGGGGGGGTGCTGACAGCAAGGGAGGCCCTAAGGGTCCAAAGGACTCAATAATTAGGTACCTGGGTTTAGGATAGTAGTAATCGAGTGAGGATTATTAGGTACTAGGACCCTTAATTAAGGGGACCCTCATATACAATCCGAAGTAGCAGAAACCTTCGCGTAAGTACTGGTAGTGATGAATCATATGAATCTTAGGGCACTACCCTTATCTGGTGCCCAATATGAGCCTATGCTTTTGAGTAATATAATACCAGCCCTTGGTACGAGGATCCATATTCCGTACCCCTAAATCGCACGCCATAGCAGGTTCAAGGGTATGACACCTGCAGCACAAAGTATCTGTGGCGTCAATGACGTACTTACTACTTCAATGACCTTGTCCCTAAGCCTGAAACCTGAACTGGACCCGTAAATCTGCCCCTAAACCTGTAAACCTTGTCCTTAAACTCTTAAACCTTCAGTTGCCCCGAAAACCTAGACCCTTAAGCCTTGTCACGAGGTACATCAAACTGTTAATTAAAGCAGTGACTACGTCATTGGCGCCACGGATATTCCGAGGATCCCTAGTTAGCGAGTTGTATTAGCATCCGTGATAAAGCAACTACCATCTACGAACCGTTCGGGGTTTTGGGTTTGCGAGCGGTTCAGAGTTTTGCGTTGTGGGTTGGGGGTGCGGGGTTCAGGCAGTCGTACCCAACTGAGGGTTCGGGACCTGAACAGGACTCGAAGCCTTTAAACAGGCATTACCTCGACATTAAACGTTTGGTTCGACTGCTACCATATTTGGACTAGTGGAGGTAACGGAACATATTGCAGTCACTTGGCACGGTCCACTGTGCTCGCTTCGGTTGTGGACAATCTTTTTCTGTTGAACGCATGAACGCGGATGTCATCCTGTCCTCGAGTTTGCTTTCAGTTTCTGCAAGAATTAGAGTACCTTACAAACCCTATAAGCCTCCAAACCCTAAAACCAACCCGAAGCTTCCCCCAGCGCTAGGCCTGGACACCTTGAGGTCCGCAATACAGGGGTCAGAATAATCACCGACGTTTTTCCATAAGGTTTCCTACCGTATGGGCAGCACCCGCGGGCCTGATTCTACTGGTGAAGGCACCTAATGTAGGCTTAGGGGTACTTAGAAATAGTTTTTCTTTTTTGTTATTATAATCCCTAAGAAGCAGCTGAAATTATAATTGTTGCTAGGGTTCTGAGTTCAGTATAGTAGGAACCTGATTAAAAAAACCTTGGGCCTGTATTAGGGTTCCTTATATATGTTGGGGTTATAGGTCCAGGGTTTCTTAATCAGGTTCCTACATTATAGTAGGCGTTGACACCTGGGAGAAGCCTTGAGCCTCCATTCGAAGAAAGCTTGGACCTTCGAAACCCGGACTCCGTACGCGGAATCCCGAACCCCCGAAGTGCACGTTTATGGTCGAGCGCAGGGTGCATGCATGCAGCCGTGCAGGCATTTGTAATTTTGGAGATGTGGGCTCGGGGTTTATTGGCCTTGGTCCTTGGTAGAACAAGTATAGTAAGTAGTGTAATTAGTGAAGTGATGCCAGTGATGGTGATGACGACGCTGCTAGTCTTCAACGCGCTACTGTTCAAGAACGACGGCGGACAGAATCCTCCTGGTTGAAGATTTCGCAAGTTTCTGCCGCAAAAACAACGCTGAACAGCGTATAGTAACTTTTCAGCATGTTTTCACATCCTCATGGACGTGATGCGCTGATTTAACGGTCACCGGAACCTGATGCTGCCATGATAGCAGAAGGTAGGACATGGACCTTCTTGGATCAGTGCACCTCGGAAGAGCAACTTTGCATGAGGCTGCTGCCACACCAGAAAAGTCGAACACGACGTGGCCTGGCCAAGTTGAGTGGGGACTTAAGGCGCATGGTACATGGTCTGTGGCACGACTGTAGCTGTGCATAGGAACTCTTGAAGTTTCATGCCTAGGCCCATGCTCTTACTTCGTTTGAAACCGAAATGTTGCAGCATGGTGACAGGGGGTAGGGCCATTACATAAGGTCTCAGCAGCTTCAATCCAGCTATTCGAGACTTCGTTTGCTCCAAATGTTGTGGTTTTGCTCTGTGAGAGTGTAGACCCAACAGTGGGGTTGAAAGTTGAAACCCACAACGATCAAACTCCCAAAGGGCTGTTTCGGATGGCGCCAGGGTTTGGTGTTCCTGGAGTTTCTTTGTCTCAACATAGACTTCCCGTGAGATCCAGGCTTCCCCTGCATCGCTTCGGAGCCCTTCGAGTTCCCCGAGTCGCTCGGCTCTTTTCCGTTCAGCTTCTAGGATGCCCAGTAGTACCCTTATTCCCTTTTTGTAGTCCTAGGTTCCTTATAAAGTTACCCAATACCAAAAAGAGAGGCCTTTTTATTCTTAGGTTACTGGGTATCCTAGGTGTTTTCTTCGATCTTGCGTTCTTTCAAGGATTCGGTTTCTCTTTCGCATTTCAACTGTTGCACTTGTTCAACAAGGGTTTTGCATTTCCTCTCTCTGTTTTGCGCCAGGTGTTGGGCGTTCCGTATAGTGCTCTACCCAGGATTTAAGCGCACAACGAAAACGAATGCGTGTCAAGCCCAATTATTCAGATAGGCACGGCAATTACCCAGGTGGGCGGCTAGGGCCATCATTAATTACAGAGTTTCGTTAGCAGCTGAACGAATACCTCAGAAACAATTCGGGATACTGCAATTTCCCTGGAATGCAAGACTTTCAGCTTGATAGCTTTCGGGAATCAGGGAATTGGGGTATTGGGCGGGCTTACGGGTTCAGGAGACCCTCACTGCTTCGAACTGGTGGCTCAAGGTTTGGACTTTGCAAGAGAAGTCATTGATCTCGTAACCTTACAGACCCTCACAGAACACTTTATAGAGCCCCTGGAGTGCCCTTCAAGACATCTTGAAACGAACCCTTCGAACGAACCACAAATTGCCCAAAACGGTAGGTCTCCTCCAGGTCTCGGAAGCTTCGGGGCACCACCTTATCTTAGGGGTACTTAGAAATATTTTTAAATTCTTGGTTATTATAATCCCTAAGAAACAGCTAAAATACTATTTTTTGCTAGGGTTCTAAGTTCAGTATAGTTAGGTTCTCTGTTCTAAGGCTAGTCTAAGGTAAGGTTGCGGGTCCTAGAGAGTTGAGGGTGTAATACAGGGGCCTGAATAAATACCCTTTACCATTTTTTGGGGGTTCCTTACTATAGTTATAGTCTGATGGGCCCCCAAACCCTCTTTTTTGGTGGTTCCCTACTATAGTTGTAGTATGACGGGCCCCCCAAACCCTATTCGAATAATTAAGGCCCCAAAATTACGTTTGGGCTTTGGGGCCTTTGGGGTTGCAGGTCATGGGATGATGTTGTGTTTGTCACTTTCTATGCAGGGTGTAGGGTTTAGGGTTGGGGTTTAGTCTTTTTACTGTTTTGGGGTCAAGGATTTGGGGACGGTGTTGATCATACTGCAAGGCCGCAATGGGGTTAGGATCTGACTGAGGTTGCAACGTTTAGGGCGCACTAGACCTTGAAACCCTTAAACCCTCGTAGCTTTCAGGTATACCGTCGCAAACTTGAAATGGGTTATGGGGGCAGGGTTTGGGGTTTTCGGCTTTGGGTTTGGGGTTAGGGCACCCGCGAGGTGGCAGAGCCAGGTGCATGGTCTAGGCTTGAAGTTCTTTCTATACACTTGCAGGTATGGTAGCTACCAATGAAACTGATTATGACAGTTTCAGGGACCTATCAGTCATTCAACAAGAACCTCAGTCAGTTTCAGCAGTATGACTCTTTTTCATGGAAGGATGCCTAGCTAGCAATCGTCCAAGCGTAAGAGACCGCATTTTTCTCATTTTGCGGGAAGGTGGACGTTCTGTTCGGGTTTGATTCCTCTCGATCGCTGCTGTTGCCATCCCTCGATTCGGACCGAGGTCAGAACGGCATGGTGTGCCTTATTTGGCACCCAAGTTGCAACTTAGGATTATAATTGGGGGTTTAGAGGTCTTGTATTTGGGCCAGAATAGTTAAATAGTAACACCGATACGCCCTGTTTTCTGGGACGAAAGCCTGAGTACCTAAGTCCGTACCGTTAATCTTCGGGATTGGCACTGCTTGGGGTGGGATCTATACAGGCGTCAATGAGGGCTCTTTGAGGCTTTAAGATCTAATATAGCTTCAAAGTAAGCATCAAGGCCCATTACCCTTGACAGATATCGGACTGTCACTTACGACGTGGCTTAAGGGCATACTTACTATAGGGACCTACATGGTGACCAATCTCTAATTGAGAAAAAGGTTTCCTGCTCGCTATACACCTGAGCTTTCCCAAAGCTGTGCGGCTTCTTGCATTTGATAACTTAATTAAGCACTGTTTCGACTGTGATAACTTGCAGAGAACAGACTGCCGGTCGGTGCAAAGTAACGTAAAGACATACAAGCGCGTTCGGGGAAGTAGCAATCGAGGGCTTTTGGGGGTTTAGCGTTTAGGGTTCAGGGTTTTTAGGGTTTAGGGTTTGGGGCGTTGGGATTTGGTTTAAGGTTTGACGTTTCAGGGCTGTAGCAAGTCTTGTGCTCAGAATTCCGGGCGTCGTCTGGACACTCAACCGCAAAGCCGGACGTGCTAGCCCCTGAAGGCCTCAACTCTACTTGGAGGCCCTTTTGACTTAGTAAGTTAGTAAGGTAAGTTATGGGGATTATAATAGGGTTTCTAGGGGATACTAAGTAGACTTACTAAGTCAAAACTCCAAGTAAGCCCTAATCAAAGGGCTCCAGGGGTTCGATGAAGGGGGTTTAGGGTTTAGGGTTTAGGGTTTAGGGTTTAGGTGGGATAATCTCAACATAAGTTATAATAAGAGGCCTTGTGTATAAGGGATCCTTCATCCTACCCACCTTCATCCCACCTTTTGAGGCCCCCGACCTAAGCCCCTAAACCCTGAACCCTAAACCCCGAACCCCCTGAAGGCCTTAACTCAAAGCCATTAGCCTTAGACCCCACTTCCTTGGATTTTCGGGCCGCTTCCGGTTGAGGGTTGGGCGAGGTGTAGGGCTTAGGGTTTAGGGACAGCAGAGATTCTTTGAGCCGCGAAGAAACAGGCTTTCACCCACACGAACCAGCCCCCGAAAGCGTCACATGGATTCCTCAATGATGGTTCTCTGCTGCTTCTCGGGATTAGGACTTTAGGGGTTTAGGGCTTTAGGGCTTTAGGGCTCAGGGCTTAGGGCTTAACATTCAGTCAGGGACCCTGAACCAGGTGTCGAGGTGGCAACACTTTTCGCGGCGCTGAACGACCCGACAAATGCGCAGCCGCTCGGGATGCAGAATGGCCATGCTGTGCTTAGGGTCATTCGGAAGCCGGAATTGTTGATAATCCTGTTGTGTCGGGTTCCGTATTAGAGCTGATTACAGTCTAACATGCCCTAAAACCCTGAGGCTAGGGCCTACATATGCAGCGGCCCGCCCTTTCTTCTGTATAGTACAATACACCCGAAGCCCTATGCTAATCACTAAGGCCCATATAATTTGGTTCAGGATGCAGGGCTTAGGGCAGGGTCCTAGTTCATACACCGGGTAGGTAATGTATAACCTTTTGTGATACATATATATATATATATATATACCACTACCACAACCGGTCGGGATATCCCCATAAGATGCTTATGCTTATGTGCTTTTTGGGGCCCTAATAAAGGTTCTTGTTATGAAGCATGACAGAGAATCTGAAAGGACCCAAGGTAGGGCTAGGAAGGGTCCTTGACCGATCTCCTCTAAGCCCTAATTCCTAGCCTGCGAACTGGATTCCGGAAAACGGTAAGCGGTAGGGTTTAGGGTTTAGGGTTTAATCCTTCATTCAGCCCCTGCAGCCCCTGAAGAAGCCTCACTGCCAAACCCGAAACCCTGAACCCTGGGGAAGAAACACCTACTTTTGAACAAATGCGGATCCCAAGCGCCAACCCGTAGAAACTTCCACACATCCCTGCTGAAGCTCCCCCCCAACCACAAGTGCTGCAGAATTCCCATGCTATTCGGTTCAGGTTTACCTAAAGCCCGGAAACGGTAGTGCGTAAATCCAGAACAGAATCCCAACAAGCTGTGAAATGAGGTTTGTGTTCCTGTCCGACTCCACTGTGCCTTTGAAAAACTTTGCCTACGTGCACAAGGACTCCTCAGAGTTGATCATTGCCTTGTTTAGGGCCTACTGGGCTTGGGGGGGGGGGGGGGTTCGGATATTGGCTGAGGGTTCGTACATCGCTTCAGCGACTTCTCTGCTGGGTAGGGCTTTCTGCGGTTTGCAGTGCTTGGGGTTTGGGGCTTACAGGGTTTAAAGTGGGCATTCCTATCCTTGCCCTTAAAACTGTCATCTCAAACTGTCAAGTGCCCTACCGGCTCCATAATGGTTCCTTCTGGGGGTTCAGATTTAGAATCCTGTAAGGTAATCCCAAAAAAGGACTACGATTGGGCCGATGGGTAGCGGCTGGGATTTCCGAGACTAAGGTTTGGCGTCGAGTTTAAAGCTCATGGTGGTCCAAAGCCCAACCTTTTCAAGTTTTGGGGTTAGTCTTATTCTGAAAGGTTGAACTTGCAGATTCTGCGCATTTAAACTATTTGGGAAGTACGGTTGATGATATAAATCCTGCATTACCTTAAGGACCCTAAACTATAGGAATTATGGCATATTCCTTATGATGGGTAATGCAGGATTTATATCATCAACCGTAAGGGTCAATTAGGGTTGAGGGTTGTGAGACTTCGGATTGGTGGGCTTCTCCACGGGTGGGCGTCCGACCAGCACGCTAGTTTCCGAAGGCTTCGGATGAGGGTTCAGTAGTTTTGGGGTCAAAGGGGTTTTGGGGGCTAGGGTTTAGGGTTTAGGGCTTCAAAGCCCGTGCTCAAAAAAAAAGGGTTTAGGGTTTAGGATTAGGGTTTATAGTAATTTTAGGGTCTAGGGGTTTTGGGGGTTCGGGGTTTAGGGTTCCGAGTTCACGGCTTAACGATGCTGCACCCAATGCCTGTCATAATAAGGCGCATTTTGTTTCGATCCAGATTTTGGATGTATCTGCATGGGTTTTGGCCCAAGATTGCGCAGATGAGGGCACTTGTACCCTCAATGCACCCCGGCAGCCTAAACCCTACGATCCTGCAACCCTAAGCTCTCTCGTGTCTCTAGACCTTCAACCCTAAACCGTTAAGCTAATGTAGGAAACTGATGAAGAAACCCTGGGCCTGTAACCCCCAAACAGTAGGATTCATATAAGGAACCCTAAGAAAGTCCCAAGAATTCTTAATCAGGTTCCTACATGATTATAGTACCCTTATAGATCCCTTAAAAGGAACCCTTCTAGACCCCTTTAAAGGAGCCCTAATAAAGGCCCAGGGTTCCTACATTAAGCCCTGAGACCCTCAGACAGGAGCTGATGCAGGTGGCACCTTCGAGCAGCAAGGCGGGGGTCATCGACACCACCGGTGCTTGCGGGTTGGCATCTGGACTTTTATGGTGGTGTAGGGGTGACGAGTTTAGGGTTTAGGGGTTTAGGGTTTAAGGGGGCTTATACGCTTTAGGATTACATCCGAGGTTGGCTGTCTGTCTTTTGTTGGCTTCTGCTGATGTTTTTTTGCTTCTGAACAGAGGTTTTTGGTATTGGGCAGTCTGGCTCTCTGACTTTGAACCGATGCACCAATGTCCCTGAACCCCGAACCTACTTTCCTTGTTTCCTCAGAACACTTGAATTTCTGCAGACGGTTCATTGGGGTCGAATAGAGACGGGCTACACCCTACGGCACTAGACTTACCGTTGGTTAGCAAAGGAGCTTCTTCAACCTCCTTGCGAGCTACTCAAGTGACGCTGTTTCAGAGTTCCATCGCAGTGTTGCGGAGAAACACCTGGCTTTAGCCCGATTCGCTACCAAGACACAATTCGGGCAATCCCTTGAGACATTGCTGAGCAATCACCCCTTTCTCTTCCGAGTTAGCGAGGTGATGGATGAAGTGAGGAAGATCACCCAGGCATGCACGATTCTGGCAGAGAGTGATGGTCCAGAGATGATCCCTTATCAGGGTCTATTGGGACTCGCAGGACATACTTTGACATCCGCAAAGCAAATCCCAATCCTAGGCAGTGTGGTTATCAAGATGTTGCAGGCGGATCACCCCAACTCCCACTGGGGGAATTATCGATGGAACTCAGATGCCCCTCAAAGGACTGTGCAAGACATCCTGGGTGCAGACCAGTCATGTCGTGTGCCACTGACTATCGACGCCCGCCTCAGCGAGGAGCCACAATGGAAGATTTAAATCCCTCAGCCCTAAAGCCTAAGCCCTACGCCCTAAAAATCCCAAATCCCTAAATCCCTAAGCCCTAAGCCCTAAGCCCTAAGCCCTAAACCCTAAACCCCTAAATCCCTAAATCCCTAAATCCCTAAGCCCTAAAGCCTAAGCCCTAAGCCTTAAACCCTAAACCCCTAAATCCCTAAATCCCTGAGCCCTAAAGCCTAAGCCCTAAGCCCTAAACCCTAAACCCTCAAATCCCCCTAAATCCCTAAATCCCTCAGCCCTAAAGCCTAAGCCCTAAGCCCTAAACCCTAAACCCTCAAATCCCCCTAAATCCCTAAGCCCAAAACCCTAAGCCCTAAACCCCTAAATCCCCAAATCCCTAAGCCCTAAAGCCTAAGCCCTAAGCCCTAAACCTAGACCCCTAAATCTTTAAATCCCTACGCCCTAAAGCCTAAGCCCTAAGCCCTAATCCCCAAACCCCTAAACCCCTAAATCCCTAAACCCTAAATCCCTAAATCCCTGAGCCCTAAACCCTAAACCCCTAAATCCCTAAATCCCTATGCCCTGAAGCCTAAGCCCTAAGCCCTAAGTGTTTCGTGTTTGTTGACGGTCGCATGTACCTCAACGAGCAAGGACAGCGTGTGGAGCTCGAGTTTCCTAGATGGCGGTCCATTCTTGTGCAATCAGCTGTTGACCATCTAGTGCAATACGTTTTGTAAAAGCCCTTTTCCAAGCATGAGGTCGACCTGCTTCAGAACGGTCCCACTGCTGAGGCGGTGGACGCTTCGAGCTTGGTTGGCGTCAGCACCTCGGACGAGGGCCTTGTGCGATCTCGTGCACTTTTGGAAAACTTGAGAGCCAGAGGAGGAGGACAGCTCAGGTCGAGCGATGTGACTGGGATGGACTGGTCAGTCGGGCGCTTCGGCGCTCTCGACGGCTATTTCTGCCTCGGGAACGCGGCAGATCCTTCCGACGCATCTGTGTCAGCGGTCACTGCGCAGTCATGGTCCCTGATCAACAGCACGTACGTTGTTGACGAAAAGGGTAAAGCATTATAGTCGTCAAGGCCTTTATTCGATTTCGGCTGTCCTGAGCCTAGGTATCCAATTATTGGGTCCTTTGCACGCCTGAGAGATTTCATGAACCACCAAAGGCCCCCCTTTAAAGGCTTATGCCCCAAACCGTAAACCCTAAGCCCTAAACCCTAAACCCCTAAACCCCTAAACCCTAAACCCCTAAACCCCTAAACCCTAAAATCCCTAAGCCCTAAACCCTATAAGCCCTAAACTAAACCCCTAAACCCTAAACCCCTAAACCCTGAACCCCTCCGCAGCACCCGCAGCCCTTAATTCAAGGCCCCGGTTCAGGCTCTCCGGTTGAGGGTTTTAGGGTCCGGCCTGAACCCTGGTGTTCAGGGCTTTCAACTCTAAGCTTCAGGGCTTAGGGCCCTAAGCCCTAAGCCCAACGGCCCCCACCCGAAACCCTAAGCCCTAAACCTTAAATCCTATGCCCTAAACTCTAAGCCCTAAACCCTATAAGCCCTAAACCCTAAGCCCTAAACCCTAAAAGCCCTAAACCCTAAGCCCTAAACCCTAAGCCCTAAACCCTAAAAGCCCTAAACCTTAAACCCCTAGTAAACTCTCCGAAGCGAGGTTTGCCTCGCCGAGCCAGCGACCTTCCACTACGTCAAAGCCGAAGTGCCACCGGGCACCTTTGTGTTGGGTCTCTGTAATTCTTGGGGTTGTGTAGTCTTAGGTTCCTTATAAAGTTACCCAATACCAAAAAGTTGGGTCTCTGTAATTCTTGGGGTTGTGTAGTCTTAGGTTCCTTATCAAGTTACCCAATACCAAAAAGTTGGGTCTCTGTAGTTCTTGGGGTTGTGTAGTCTTAGGTTCCTTATAAAGTTACCCAATACCAAAAAGTTGGGTCTCTGTAATTCTTGGGGTTGTGTAGTCTTAGGTTCCTTATAAAGTTACCCAATACCACAAAGTTGGGTCTCTGTAATTCTTGGGGTTGTGTAGTCTTGGGTTCCTTATAAAGTTACCCAATACCAAAAAGTTGGGTCTCTGTAATTCTTGGGGTTGTGTAGTCTTAGGTTCCTTATCAAGTTACCCAATACCAAAAAGTTGGGTCTCTGTAATTCTTGGGGTTGTGTAGTCTTAGGTTCCTTATAAAGTTACCCAATACCAAAAAGTTGGGTCTCTGTAATTCTTGGGGTTGTGTAGTCTTAGGTTCCTTATAAAGTTACCCAATACCACAAAGTTGGGTCTCTGTAATTCTTGGGGTTGTGTAGTCTTAGGTTCCTTATAAAGTTACCCAATACCAAAAAGTTGGGTCTCTGTAATTCTTGGGGTTGTGTAGTCTTAGGTTCCTTATCAAGTTACCCAATACCAAAAAGTTGGGTCTCTGTAGTTCTTGGGGTTGTGTAGTCTTAGGTTCCTTATAAAGTTACCCAATACCAAAAAGTTGGGTCTCTGTAATTCTTGGGGTTGTGTAGTCTTAGGTTCCTTATAAAGTTACCCAATACCACAAAGTTGGGTCTCTGTAATTCTTGGGGTTGTGCAGTCTTAGGTTCCTTATAAAGTTACCCAATACCACAAAGTTAGGTCTCTGTAATTCTTGGGGTTTAGGGGTGTAGGGGTTTAGGGGTTTAGGGGTTTAGGGTTTAGGGCTTAGGGCTTTGCGGTTTAGGGGTTTAGGGGTTTAGGGTCTAGGGGTTTAGGGGTTTAGGGGTTTAGGGTTGTGGGTCTCTGTAGTATTCAGGATGCCCAGTAGTACCATTATTCCCTGTGTGTAGTCTTAGGTTCCTTATAAAGTTACCCAATACCAAAAAAGTTGGGTCTCTGTAGTATGGCAGTTTCCGAAAATTTGGGGTACCTTATTTGGGGGTCCTAAAAAAAGGATCCTACTATTCAGGGTGCTATATTATGCTCCCCACTTTTCGGAAGCACCCATATAGAAGCCTTCATGATTTCCAGTGTTATGCATAGAGGTTCCTTTTTATAGTTCTCGCATAATATTCACAAAACCCTTACGGTTTCTGTCACACTTTTTTATTATACAGGATCCCAACATTATTCTGATCAATAAAAGTCCCGATTTTGGTGGGGTCAGAACTGTCAATGCTGCGTGGGTGCCAGCAGTCTTGCATGACGGTATGTTGGTGCATGACGCCGACAAGCGGCTTGAGAAAAGGCGGAGTGAGACGCTGATCAAGTCGGGAATGCCGCTGACGGCTGCTGGTTTCAGTGTTGCCTTCGCCCAATTATCCCACAACAGGACGTTCATTTCCTTCGACACGACTGCCGTTGACTCGACCATACCGGGGCAGAAAGCAGCGAATTTAATCGCAGGCGCTTGAGGTCACACTTGCACCACACATGCAATCAGGGTTTTCAGGGCTTGCAAGGTTTTTGCTTGGGATTTAGGGCTTGGCCGGTGGTTCAAAAGTTGAGAGGTTTTGGGTCTTTTTAGGGCTTGTAAGGTTTGCCTGTAGCCGAAAAGACCTATCTTTTTAAGGAACTATATATAGAAACCATAATAAGGAACACTAAAAAGGTAGGTCTTTTCGGCTACAGGTGAGGTTTAGGGTTTTTGGTGTCTGTCTGTCGCTGAAAGTTCTAGAAACTCCTAGCTCGCGGTCTCGGGACACCCGAAAGACAACCCCAAAGCAGAAACTTTAAACCCTAAACCCTAAACCCCGAAACCCTAGATGCTAAACCCTAAATAACCTAAACCACACCCTTGAAACCAGAAACTATAACCCTCAAGCCCGACAGCAGGGTGGGGAGGAAAGATCCTCGAACCCCTTAGCCCTAAACTGGCCCTAAACCATACAGTAATATAGGGACCTGAATAGTTACAGTAGAAGCCCAAAAGTTGGAAACCCAATAGCCTTGATCCTAAAGAGCAATTTATAGGGAGTCCCAGCACTATTTGGCCTTAATCCGGTTTCCAACTTTATGGGGTTTACTGTATCTATACTACTTTGGGGGTCCTGAACATAATTATAGCATAGTGGGCACATTACTTAGGGTTCCTTACTGATAATTATGATAACGCTACTATATGGGAATTTCCGAAAATAGGGGACCCCAATATAGCACCCTACATAGTAGGATCCTTATTAGAAGGAGCCCCAAAATAGGTACCCCTATGTTTCGGAAACTCCCATGTAGGGTTTAGAAGCCGAGGCTGAAACAGGAGGCTTCACGCAGCTGTGTCTTCCGTGCGCCTCGGCAGAGAAGTCGTGGCAGGTCCTTGTAGTTTTCGATGCGGTTAGGGTTTAGGGGTTTAGGTCGGGGCATCAGAGAAGGGGTGTCAAGCTAAGGGGTGCTGGCGGGTGGAGGGCTGTAGAGTGTCGGGTTGAGAGTTTGCAGCATCTCGAGTGACCCCGCAAGCTTTTTGATTCAAACAAAGGGCCCTTCATTACTAGAAGAGGGCCTTCAGGTTCATGGTCGTGTAATTATCGAGGGATTGTAAAACGACGTACAATCTAAAGCCATAAACCCACCATAAACCTAAACCTTTCACTCTAATGCCTAAACCCTAAGCCCTGAAACCCTCACTGAAACCCCAAACTAGACCCGAAAGCCCTAAAGCCTTGAACACCTAAGCCTAAACCCCAAAACCCTAAAGCCTTAAAACCCTAAGCCAAAACCCGTTTGGCTGTCACCATGAACCCCATGGGGCGCACTGCTCACTGGATCGCAGCGAATCTCGCAGACCATGAGCTGTCGTGGAAAGCGTGGGTCTATGAAGCTGGCGAGACGTTCTGGGAAGTCCGTCGTGTCATAGATACATGCTTGAGTCACAAAAAGCACCGGAGCCATTGCAAAATCATCCAGGAAGTCAAGATGCTCTGCAGCATTTAGCAGCCTTTTTTGCCAGCATGCGCTGGGGTGTTTGTTCGGCACCGGCGGCTGGAGCCGATAAGGGCGCAAGTGGCACCGTCTAGCTGTAGCAGTTCAGGATGCAGTGGTCTTTGTGTTTGCACCGCTTTGGCTTCATTATGCAGCAAGAGCTCCTCGTCTGATGAACGGCATACCTCGAAACATTGCTTTCTCATTCTCCCCGAGGTTAGGGGTTTAGGGTTTAGGGCGGATTTACCAACCACCATATTTGTTTATGCGTTTCTATTGGCTTCTATACGGTTGTAACCTCACGGCCCTTTTCTTGGAGAAGGATTTGACGGTTTCATTCGGCTCCAAACATTCGAAAAATTTACAGGCCCCTGGGATACAGGCCCCTGGGTTTCTGTTTAGGAGTTGGGGTCCCGGGTTTGGAGTCAGAGTTTGGGGGTGGCTGGTGGATGAGGCTTCCTTTCTGCTTTACAGGTTCTAGATAGAATCCTAACAAAGAGTGTTTTTTTAAGGTTGCTGAACTGGACACGTAGGGCGGGTTTGGGATTTGAGGTCTGGTCTTGAAATTTGGGGTCTAAGCTTAACGGATTCGGGGTTTCGTAAAGTTGTCTGGGACGGGCTGTGGTTTCGGGGGTTTGTGCGGTTTGGGGTTTATTAAGTTATTTAAGTTCGCCACAGGCTTTCGGGTGTAAAGTTCCCGGTTAACTCCATAGCATTACCAACCCAGCCCGCCGACAAGGTCTCGCCATTAAGCTGCTCAACCCAGAATTCAAGTCTACTGAGCTCTTGTTAATTAAGGAGCTTCTCAGGACGAGAGTATGTATCTAAAAAGTTATATGAAATCGCAGTTTAGTTCCTTTAGGATACAGGACAAGTAAGTTGTTGAGGAACTTAGGTTAAGCTTCCATAAATGGAATCTATAGTAACCGTATTCAGGTAACTGAGGTTAAGCTCCTTATCAAAACCCCAAATTGCAAGTTACACTGGCCTCATGATTTTGTGCTTGCATATGTCCGTAAGAATGTGGGTTAAGAGAGTTTAGGTCCACCCCGTACCCAAGTCGCAACAAGAACCCGCCCTCCGCCAGGACTTTTATCGCGACTTGGCCGCCGTACCATACATTGGTCTGAAGACGTTAATGATAGCGCACTATGATTTTGATGAGAATTGTTCATGGCTCCAGCAAAAGATTTGGTTAGGGAGGAGTGGGCTTTTGAGGTATATTAACATACTCCCACTATAAATCAGGAAACCTGAGGCCCTAAGCCCCTAAACCTCGAAACCCCGAAACCCCTAAGCAGTCAGTCGTAGCAGGGCCGGCTCTCCAGATTTTGCATTGCTGAAAGACGCTCGCGGTCCTTAGTTTATAGGTGAAAACAGTAATGCAGCCACGGAATCTCGTTGCAGTATGTAACACGTTATTGTGTTATCTAGAGTCTAATTAAGTTATTGAAGCGAGCCGCCTGCCGCAAACCCCAGCGCCCTAAAGCAGTGGCAATTCAACCGTAAGGGTGCCGGGACTCTGGGTTATGAACTTCGGGGAGCTGGATTGGGAATGGCCAGGGATGTCATGGATCCTCAAAAGTTTTGAACACAATCATATAGAAGGCTGAGGAAGTGCCAATACTATTTTTCGGGTTCCTCGATTTCGCGATCGTACAAGGCCCACCGAAGCAGTATTCTAATTGCTCAGACTTCCATTTTTTGCGCCGCTATCAAGGGATCCTCCGGAGGGTTTTCATTTTGGTGTTTTGGCTTAGGGCTTTAGGGATTTAAGGCTTTAGGGCCTAGTTTAGGGCTTGAGGGTTTGGGGTTTAGGGCTTAGGCTTAGGATATAGGGGTCCTTACGGGTTCCCGGGCCAAAAGCTCTAAGAGCCGAACATACTTGAAGTAAGGAATGGTGCTGAAAGGATAGTAGAGTGTGCGTGTGTGGGGGGTTCAGGGTTGAGGGTTTAGGGTCTAGGGTTCGGGTTTTTTTCGGATTGAGGGTTTAGGGTGTAGGGTTCGGGGTTCCCTCATATGGGTATAGGCTCATGCCCATATGATTTAGGGCGAGGGGGCGTTGTTCTGATTTCACATGCATTCCTTAATTAATCAAAGTGTGTAGAAGTCTCTTGCACTGGGAAACCTCAACCCCTACACCCTAAACTCTAAACCCTGAGCCCTATCCCCAAACACTAAACTCTGAACCCAAAACCCGCAAACCCTACCCGTATTTGTCAGGAGCGTACAACCCACACACGATGAAGCATCACCAGTGGGTGACGTTAGCGCGGAGACATGCGGAGCAGGTCGTTGTCCATGCAGAGGCGGGTCCAGTCCGGGCTTGGGGGGTTTAGGGGTTTTGGGGGTTGAGGTATTTAGGGCTCAGGGGTTTAGGGTTCAGAGCTCAGGGTTTGGGGGGTTAGTTTAGGGTTTCTTGTTTTCTGATTTATTCCAAGGCTTTGGAGGCTCATCTTGTCTATTCAGGCAGGAAAGTCTAGGATGCCCAGTAGTACCCTTATTCCCTTTTTGTAGTCCTAGGTTCCTTATAAAGTTACCCAATACCAGAAAGAGAGGCCTTTTTATTCTTAGGTTACTGGGTATCCTAGACTAAGTATTTGAGCAGAATTTGGCCCCGAAAGCCTTCCCCAGTCCTAGTCTGAAACCCGCTAAACTCGTATCGATTTGCGGTAGAATTTCGATGTCCTTCATTATTATACGATAGAGCCTTACTTTTACGTAATTTTGGGGACTGTTGAAATCGACGCCTCGTATAGCAAGCCCGACCCAAAAGATAAGACAGCTTTCAGAGCATAAACCCTAGGGACCCTACGCCCTAAGCCCTTTCCAAACTCATCAACCACTCATGGAATCCCAGCATAAAAGACTGGACTTAGACCCTCCATGAGGCCGAAAACTGTGAAGCCCTCTGCGGTTCTTATATGGGAGTTTCCGAAAATTAGGGGTACCTTACTATGGGGTCCTTATTTCAGGGATCCTACTATTTAGGGTACTATAGTAGGGTCCGCGGTTTTCGGAAACTCCCATATAGCCCTGGACAATAAAGGGCCCACGCCCGAAACTGTGGAACTCCGGCTTAGGGTTTAAATTTAGGGTTTACCTGGACCCCAAAAGTATGTAGAATAGTAATTATTTTACCTGCTGTGGGGGGGGGGGGTTTAGGTAGAGTACTTAGGGTTTAGGGCCTACAAGACAACTTAAGCCGTATCAACCCGTAACCCTAAACACCTGAACTCTAGACCCTGCAAGCCTAAACGCCACTGGAACGCCCTGTAACATCCCTTGTAAACCCCTGTATAAAGCAAGCAAACGCAGGCTGCTCTCAACATCTATCAATCTTCCTGGATCCAGGCCGATATTTGTTTTTGATCGGCTTTTCCTGTGGGGTTGTTTAGGGTTTCGTGGAGGTTCTAGAGTGGCATAAATGCATGTAGACGGATAGCGGTGGGGTATTCCAATCTTGTTCTTTCGACGGATTTTTCTGTGTAGTTTTTACGGTTTAGAACTCAGGGACCCAGGGTGCAGTAGTTGTGACTTTAATCACTGTTTTCCCCGGGGCTCCAAGTATATACAACTAGGACCTACTTTGGGGTCTAAAGTCTATAAATACTACCTACTTTGGGCTTTTTGGAGTCCGAGGGTTTTGTTTTGGGCTTCGTCTTGCCTGTTAGCAAGGGGTCGTTGCGATTGGATGCCTGCTGTTGTGTGTGCGTGTGTGTTGTTGCGCGGTTGCGAGGTTTAGCTTCCGGGGTTGATTTTTTTTGCATTGGGCAAGCTCATTGCAATTTTCTCTAGCCATCGCAAGCCTGAGAAGCCGCAGCGTTATGGCTTTACTTTACGGCTCGGTGCTGTGCAAAACCTGAATCACGCTTTGGCTACCATGGACCCCCGAGATGGTTTTTCTGCGTTTTCGCGTGACCGCGCGTGCAGCGACGGAGATTCGCAGGTCGCCGTCGCGAGGCAGGAAGTGCAGGCGGAGGAGGCTTCGTTCGATGGCGAGCCTCCAGCCGTTGCTGTCGAGAAGCAGCGACGGGCGATGATGCAGGGGATGGAGCCAGCAACGGGATGCAGAATGCACACCGCGGACCATACACTTCGAACTCCAAGCCTGAAGCGCCAAACCCCAACAAATGCTTGAGCCTTAAACCCCACGCAAAGACCGTAGCCTTGGCCCCTATCCTAAATTAATTATTCCGTGTTTGGCCCCTTTTCCCTGCCAAAACACTCTTTTACCTCTAAACCCCACCCTTACACATCCTGTAAGACTCGATAATAACCAGCTACAGGAACGCGCAGAAGTCGGAACTCCTATAGGTACCCTAGCTATAGCTCGAAACCACGCCCGAAGCCTTAATCCCCTTCAGAAGCCGTATAGATAGACCCCTTTGGAAAAACCTACAGAACCCCAACCCTTCAAAGAAGCCTTCAACCACCCGGAGGACCTGAACCCCCTAAGCTTTCTTTGTCCACTGGGTATTTGTCGCCCAAACCCGCGGCATAGTAGCCATTGCCTTATCGTAGGCCCTAAAGCAACCTTTTGAAGGAGCCCTTAACCGTAGAGAACCCTTTCAATAACCTTCAACGAACCCATTTTCTTTGTCTAATACTTTTAGTTTCTATCTTCCATAGTACTACAATGATTGCTACTAGCAGACTTATTACCATGCCTATGATTCTTGCGACTATTTCTTTATGGGAACCCCTAAACCCTAAACGCCTTAAGCTCTAAGCCTTGAACCCTAATCCTAAACCTTAAACCGAAAGGTGCTTAAAAAAAGAACTAAACCGAAAGGTGCTTTAAAGCAGAACCTAAACCTAAAGGTGCTTAAACAAAACCCTAAACCGAAAGTCAAGATGTCCTAGGACCCAGAGTAGGCCCTTATTCCCTTTTTTAGGGTTCAGGTTCCATTATAATCCCCTTGAAACCAAAAAGGGCGCCCTTTATATTCCTAGGTTACTCTTAGGTCTAGTGTCCGTCTTAGGCGGGCCCCGACTTAGACGTGGGTGAGGGCTGCTCAGACGAGTCGGCTCCCCTCACCGCCACTTGGAAGTCATTAGGGTTCCTTAGCGCAGGTTCCTTTAAAGGGATCCATGAGGGCTCTATAAGGGATCTTTAGGGCTTTAGGGTTTAAGGCTTTGTGTTTAGGGTTTAGAGTATAGGGTTTAGTTTTCATGGCTCTTCTTTTGGTGGTTTGTTGTGTTGTGTGGTTGTTTGGGTTCACATGTTCATGTTTTCAAGTTGCTTCAGACTTTTTTTTGTAGTCTTGGGTGTTGGGTTTGGGGATTTGACCTTTTGGTTAATTAGAAGGGGGCCGCCACCCTGTAATAGTGGTATAGTAGGAATATAATAGGGCCCTAATATTATTATAATCCTTATAGTCACTATTACACGGTGGGGGCCGCTTCTAACCTTTGTGGGGTTCATGGTTGTTGGGAACCCTGGCCGGCGACAGGTCTTTCAATTTACAGCAGGTGCTGAGAGGTTCTACTTCAGGTCTGATAGGTTTGCAAGAAGGTCCATATATACTACCATGATGCTCGTGATTAGAACGGTCTTGTGAGTTTTTTTGGACAGTTGGCTCCTCAAGCAAGCAGTAGCGTTTAGAACCTAAACCCACCAAAAGCAACGAAATCCCTATAAAGTCCTTGTGCAAGCATCCTAAACAGCCTTGGTAAAGCACCCGTGGACTATGTGAAGCCCCACACAAAACCCCCAAAAAAAACAATCAAAACCCGATCAGCACCTTGACAACCGCGCGCTGTGCCTTAAATCCTAAGCACTAAGCCGCAAACCCTAAGTAACCAAACCTTAGACCCCTACGTCCTTACAAGCCCTGAACCCTTTTTTTCTCCAAATCCCAAGCCCCTAAACCCTGTAAACGCTGGACCCTGCACCTTAAAACCCAAACCCTAAACAAAAACTAAACGCATTCAGCTGGAGCCTGCAGACCGAGATCCCAGGCGCTGTTGACCTCCTTGCAAGTGGAGGGAAAGCTCCTTTGGATGCAGTGGATGGGTGGTGGGGTTTCGGGTTTAGGGATTTAGGGATTTCGGGGTCTAGGGGTTTAGGGCTTCAGGGCATTTTGGGTTTCAGGGTTTAGGGTTAAGGATCTATGGTTTGGGATTGAGGATGTAGGGGTTTGGGTTGTGATCTCAGGGTTCAGGGGTTGGAACTGGCGACCTGGATACGGTAGTACGACGAAACCCTCAATATTTAGTTGTGTTCGCACACGGATAGGTCCGTGGGGGTTTGAGTAGGGCTAAGGGTTTAGGGTTTCAGAGTCAAGGGCTGTAGGCAGTCGGGGTGAGCCCTAATTAAACCCTCAATCCTGCATGCCTAAGCCCTCAGCCCCGGAACGCAGGGCGTAGGCTCATGCAGTCGCGAGGAGCAGTGGGAACACCTGGACCGACCTCACTCGTCTCGGAATTGAGCAGGTGGCGTCAAGTCGGTTCGGGCTATACGGGGTTCAGAAGAAGTACTTACTCATAGTAATCCCTTATCGGCCGTATTCTCTACCCCAAAGCCTATTCTAATCATGAAGGCCCCTGTGCTTTCACCCAGATTTTAGCAGTTGACAGGAAACCTCCACGAGCCCCAGGAAGGAATGTTAAAGGGATCTATGGGGTTTAGGGTTTAGGGTCTACTTGGAGGCCCAGGGGACTTAGTAAGTCGGTTATAAGTATAGGGTTGTAATTGGGGCAACTCCATTTAAGCTACTTTTATAACTCTACTTATTACCTCTTTCCAATCACTGAAGGCCCCTGCGTTGGCAGCTGTTGGGTTTTCTCCATCGTGGGATTTGGGGCTTTGGGCCATTGGGGCTTGGGGCATGAGGGCGGCGGTGTAGGGTTCAGTTCCTCGGGTTTGGGGTGTTAGGGTTTGCGGGTGAAGGCTTTGGTTTCGGGGTTTTGGAATTTCAATCTGGTGTTCCTCGGTTCAAGGTTCTTTTGCGAGCCTAATTTGGTTTTAGGGTTCCTTTAAAGGGATCCAGACAAGAGTGGCTAACGAACCGCGTTGACGGCCTTGGGGTTTGGATCCCTGGCGGCCGGAGGTGAAAGAGAGGCTTCTTGGCTTACCGACCCGCCAGCTGAAATCCATAAGGCCCAAAACCACAAACCCTTGGGAGGACTGCCAGACCATAAATTCTAAACTACACCGTTGACGAATCCGATAGAACCGTTGTAGAAATATAGAAGCCTTGTGTGAATTTTAAACTGCACGCTAAACCCTGAACCCTAAACAATTAACCCAAGCCCTAAACCTAAACCCTTAATCCCTCAAACCCTAAAACTTACCCCAGGGGCTCCAAGTATACAAATAGGACCTAGTTTGGGGTCTAAAGTCTATAAATGCTACCTACTTTGGGCTTTTTGGAGCCCGAGGGTTAACCTGGGAGGACTGCCTCACCTATGTGCGATGGCGAAACTGTTTCTCTGGCACGGAGCTGGATTTGAACAGCCGCCCGGCATAGGGTTAAGAGTTCAGGTTTGAGGATTTATATAGGGTGTTCTCGGATTTCGTAAGGTTTTCAAAGGGTTGATGTCGGGGCATTAATGATTCTTTCTTATTATATAATCGGGCTGTTGAGGCCTACATTTGGGCTTTATTTTCAGCTCCCAAGCTTGATGAGCACATCCCATATACAGCCAGCTAGAAACTCTAGCCAAACCATAAGGCGGAGAGAAATCCTGACCAAGGCCACAATCCAATCCCAAATCCGCAGGGACCAGAAGCCCAGAGGGGTAACCATCAGCAGCTTCGATGCGCCCATTCCTAAGCCCCCCGGGCTCGTCGGAGAGAGGGGCTCAGGGGCATGGACCTAAACCCTGAAACCCAACCCCTCAGACTCTAAGGATGTCGGATTACAGTAGACAACCCTCAACCCCAAGCACTGCCATGCACAACCAAGAATGCTGGACCTCCGAGCCTTACAGCATCAACTTGAACTCATGCACAAAGCCAGACGAAACCTAAACTCTAAGCACTTCAAGAACTTCAGAAACAACCAAAACAAACACAGTCCAAACCCTTGTAAGACTTCAGCAGCTGCAACCCTGTAATACAAAGCGAGCCATAACCAGTGAAGCCTGCAACACTGCTGAGCTCAAAAGCCGCCGTTTCCAAGGCGGGGCCGTCGCCGATTTCAGCACGGCCCTGTCGCACTTTGGGTGCAGTTTCGTTGTTTACAGGATGTTGAACGGTTGGACTGATCTTGTGTGCTTACCTAGACCCCCAATAGTAGGCAAAACCATGGCCCAAAACCTATCAAAGGCCATTATTCTACATACTTTTGGGGTCCACCCTGTTTGGGGCTCATCTATAGAATCCTATAAGGTAATCCCAAAAAGGAACTACTAAGGAGCCCCAGGGCAGGTAGACTGAAGTTCGCAAGGTTTGGGACCCAATCAGGTTCCACAAGGAGTGGCTTTGTCTCGATCTATAGCCTCCACTGTAGTTCCTTTTGTGTTATGGGATCCTCTAAGCCTAGGCCCCCCAAACTACCCTCTAGTCTACCCCCCCAATACCACCTGCTATTAAGGACCATAAGGCCATAAGGGCTCTCTCTAAAGGGCACTACTTGGAGGGTCGGGGGACTTAGTAAGTAGGTAGTAAGTAGACTTATAAGTACCCTAAAAGGGACCCTAATTGGGGTTATGGTACCTATAAGTCCAAAAAACAACCAGTTAATAAGTCCCCCGACCCTCCAAGTACCCTTCTAATATACCCCCAACTACCTATTACTATTGCGGACCATGAGGGCTCTATTATATTAAGGGGCGTTTGAGGTAACACTTTTCAGAGGAGAAAACGAGGGGCCCTCTTTGGGGACCCCTAGGACCTCTACCCTAGAATGGTCTATCTAATGGGCTATATAATAGCTATATTAAGGGTATATACCTAGGGGTCCTTATTGAGGGTCCCTCCTTTTAACCTTGGAACTTTGAAAAAGAGCTGCAATTGAGGGTCTCGGAAAGCCGACGGCAAAGATTCAACTTTGCACGACCCACACATGGGTGGTTGTCAATTTTAGGGTCCCTTTTGGGGTAGCTTGAATATTAGGTGCCGTACTAGAATAGAGACCCAAAAGGGACCATAATTTGGGGGGCTTGTGGGGCTTTTTGGGGCTCCTTTAAAGCGGTCTGTATAAGGGTTACTCTAAGGGATCTATAATCGGTTCCTATAATCCGGTTTATAGAGGTTCATAGGGCTTATGCAGGAATTTGGATGTTTAGAGGTCTTATATAGGATTTGGGGCTTATATGGGGTTTATGAAAGTTTATAGGTTTTTCGGGTTTAGGGTTGACAGGTCAGGTTCATGTCTTGTGCTTGGGGCTTTAGTAGGGTTCAGAACTCTCTCACTGCATGGAGTACAGTCTCAATTTTATCGCCGAACTGGAAACAAAGCAGGGATTGGGCAAGGGAAACTTCTCGAAAGCTGCTAGAGTGAATTGGAACTTTTTGTTTGTACGCCTAAATCCTGAACCCCAAGCCCAAAAGAAAGACACCTGCTGAGGAACATTGGTGAAATCAGAGACTTGCTGTTGCAAGGCTGGGGAAGCGTTGGAGACTGTAGCGATAGAGACTACGAAGATAGATTGGGATTAAGCTCATGACTCATGAGAAGAAGCCCTTAAGGTTTTTGCCATGTATTCAACTAGTTGTGCCCATATACCTAAGCCCGAAGCCGTACTTGGGCTACTCTTGGGTTTGGCGCGTTCTTGCCAGTGTCGTTCGGAAGAGTCCATCTTGCTTGCAGGGATGGCTTCGGTCTTTGCGGTGGCAGGTAGGACCTTAAACCCTACCTACAGTCTCCATTGTAGTTCCTTTTTTTGGCTAACCAGAATCTCTATTATGGGATCCTAACCAGCAACTGGCTAACCAAAAAAAGGAACTACAATGGAGACTGTAGGTAAACCCTAAAACCCAAGACCCTGAACCGCAAGCCAAGCCCGAAGACCCCGAATCCCAAAGCCTTGAAAGCCAAAAGACCTCGCGCCTAAAGGAGGTACAGGGCTTATCTGCAGAAATTTACCCTAAACCCTAAACCCTAAACCCTAAACCCTAAAGCCTAAACCCTAAACCCTACACCCTGTGGGCTCCCGGCAAAGGTTCACGACTGAGCAGACGAGTTTGGGGGTTTCAGGTTGGTCGGGTTTAGGGTTTAGGGGCTTAGGGTTCACAGCGATAGGGCCACCGTTGTGGGGCCGGGTGAAGTTTCCAGGTGCAGCACGAACTTTGCAACTTGTGAGACAATTATGTAAGTTGTTTCTTTAGTGACGCTTTAAATTCGGGACTGTGAGTGGGTTTCACCCAGCAGGCCTTTTCACAGAACGCATGTAGGAGCCCTATTCCACACGCTCTCCCAAGGGTCCATATACCTGTATAGTCTATACTGTGGCCCGAAAGTACCTTTTTGGGGAGCCTGTTTAAGGCTTTAGGCCTACAAGTCCCAACTGTATACACTATAGGTGCATGGACCTTCCCTAGACCCTGAAACCCTACACCCCACAGGTATTGAGTCCCCTACACTATAGTATTCTTACAGTGTCCCTTTTAGTAACCCTTACAGACCCTCTAAAAAAAAAGGAGCCTTATTTTAATTATTGAGTCCCCTACACTATAGTATTCCTACAGTGTCCCTTTTAGAACCCTAACTTATAGATCCCTTTAGAAGGGAACCTCATTTTAATTATTGAGTCCACCCTACGTTAAACCGCCTTTGCTCTGTCAGACAACTTCGACTTTCTCAAGACCGCTCCGGGCTGCCTTTTCTTTTTGCATCTTAGGTTTAAGGTCTTTGGGCTTAACATAGGGGCCTTAAGAGCTGCCTTTACTATGTTTTTGGGAGTTCCTTATTATAGTTTGGGTATAACGTGCCCCTAAACCTTGTTCTAAGCATTCAGGCCCCTATATATTGGGGTTTTAGGGGGTTGGAGTTCAGGCTTTTGAGTTTAGGGCATGGGGTTTTCAGTCGACGAGTAAAAAGTTGCGCAACTCACACGCATAAGAAAAACTCAATCACCCAGCCAATGGTTCACAGGTAAGCAAACTGATGCACCGATGGTTGCATGAATGCATACATACATAATTTGCAGGCAAATGACAAATATGCAAGTTTGACAACCTACTCATCAGCAGATAGCTCAACAAGTTATATTAGCGTATACACATGCATACATACACATACACATACATATGCATGCATACATGCGTACATACGTACGGACGGACGGACGTACGGACGTACGACACACACATACGTACATACATACATAGGTACGAAAGTATATACATACATACATAAATACATGCCTGCATACATACATGCAGACATGTATATATGTATGTATGTATGTAAGTATGTATGTATGTATGGACGGATGTATGTATGTATGTATGCATGCATGCATGCATGTATATATATATATATATACACACATACATACACATATATGTAATTGCGTGTGTGTACAAATAGCGTCATGGCATAAGCCGCGAACTCACCATTCTCCTTGTGGCCGGTGGAGCCTACTTGCATATTTTTCTATTCCCGCAAGAGCCCTAGCCCTAGCCAATCTGCCTGTTCGTATATCCTTGACTCACTTAACACTAAGCCCGAAACCCTAAGCCCTTTGCAACTAATCCCGTGCCTCCAAGCCCGAAACCCAAAAATCCTGGAACATCAGACACCCAAGTCCCAGGTATCCAGAGCCCATTGATTCAGGAGTGCCTCTTAAAATTCGGAGGGCCCTTAGAGTTCATATTCCTGAAATAAGGCATGTGTGGTGTTTTGCCCTCTTTGCAGCTATGATTTGTACCCTCAGACCTCAGCACCCTAAACCTACATCCCTGAACCTTGAACCAGAAAACCTTAAGCAGGAGCAACCCCTAAATCCCTCCACCCCAAACCATAACCCTAAAAAACCCTAAACCCTAAGAGCCCCCAACAGGAGCAACATGAAGAGAGAGCTGAACGGCTTCCCGCATTACTTCAGCAACATCACTGAGAGCTATCTCTGGAGCATGGTGCCTGGGCACGAACCATAAAGCTGCACCTAAGACCCTTGTTAAGAGGTTTTCTACAGAGGTGTTACAGGGTTTTATGGTGGTTTGTCGGGTGCTACAGAGGCTTTATAGAGTCTTGTGCGATTTTGTCGGTGCTTACAGAGGTTTATAGGGTTTTATACGGCTTCGTAGCGTTATACGGAGGTGTGTAAGTTTTTGTTCATGCGGTTTAGGGGCAAGGCTCTTGCGGTGATCCAGGTAAATCCAGCTGCCTTAAAGTCATGTTTCAGGGTTGCTGAAAGGATTTGTTTCGCGGTGCCCGATAGGATTCTATCCCGGTTCTTTTAGGGTTTCAGTGTTGTCGGAGTTTTGGATTGAAGGCTGCAGGTTTTATAGTGGGGGGCTGTAGGGTTAGGTAGATATCCAAGTCCTCGATCCCTCAGCAGCTGAGGTGAAGCAGGGTTTCATGCTGCCAGGATCGCACCAAGAAGGGTTTAGGGTTCAGGGGTTAGGGTTTAGGGTCAATCAGGGTACCGGTAATGGCTTGAGAGCGTGTTCAACTTCGGTGCAGACGTACGACGGCAGACTGGCCAGGAAAGGCAAGTCATGAAGCCTCAAACCTTGCCTTACATAACCCTAAACAAACTACCTCTTTAGGGTTCCTTATTATGATTTCCTTATATTGTCCTTCAAAAGGCAGGCTATCCAGGGTTAAGGCGAAGCTTCAGGTAATCAACATAATCTTGGTATGACAAACAGCTGATATCTGCTTCAGCAGTGAAATAGACTGCGAGTACTACTAATCACCCTCATCACATTATGCTTAGTTCGAGTGTAGGTTAGGGTTGTCGACACAGACTTGTAGCCGTCAACGTGTTTCAAAGACCAGGATGCTACTCCAAGAAGACTTGAATCCTAAGCCCAGAAAACCCTCTACACTCAAACCACAAAGTCCCCCACCCTGTACCCCGGCGCAAATGCTGAAGCCAGCAAACCAAGCTCTGATTCCTACGCCCAAAAAGCCCCAAAAAGCATGGTGTCAAAAGCAGAAAATGCACACGACACACAAGATGCGAAGGTAATCCTAATCCCTAAACCACATAGACCCTGAACCCGAAACCCTAAACGCCTAAACGCCAATCACCTTGTCCAAGAAGCTTAGGTTTGCTCGCAAATTCGCACCAGGCCAGACTGCAAGAAGTAGAGCCGGCTTTCGCAGAAGGGTTTAGGGTTTTAGGGTTCAGGGTTTAGGCTGTAGGGCTTTGAGGGTTTGGGGGTTGCAAGTGGGGTTCAGGGTTTGCTTGAAATTGCGGGCCCGTATGTGGCTGCTACATAATAAGGACCGGATCCTACCGTTCAGGGTCAACAACGCAAAAGTAGGTGTTCCTGTTCTACCTGGTCCCATGTGGATTATGGGACGGGAAGGTAAGTTTTTGGATCTGCAGGTAGGGCTCAGCCACCCTGAACCCTCAGCTGTAGAGACAGACCAAATCCTGAAACTTTATCTGAGCCCGTAGGCATTGCTCTGTGAGATCGTGTCCTGCTCATTGCCGTGCCTTCAAATGCGGTGAGGCATCCAAGTCCAGATGAATGGCAGAGTAAAGGCTGCGGCTCTGCTGCAGTTTGGGGTTTGGGGTTACGGAGTTCAGGGCTTGGGGTTGTCAAGTTTTAGGATTTAGCGGGCAGTGTTTAGGATGCATCGTATCGGGGCTGTTCCGATCCAGCGGACAATGCGCATGAACTGTAAAGTCTTTGTAGGATCACAGAGAGATCCGGTCAACATGAGAGTGAAGGGACTGCGGATGTGTGTAGTGGGCCCCGAACCCTAAGCCCTACACCCTAAGAGGCTCTCTGAGTACATTCATGTTCGAATCCAAGCCCGGCACCTTAGACTCAGATTGAAGCAGGTATATACTCGTACCTAAAGCGGCATCCCGTGTGTAGTGCGATTCTGCGCTCCCCCCTGTCTATGTATGATATGAATGTGTATTTATGTGTTCGTACACATACATATCTCTATATATCCCTGTATATACTTGTTTTTAAATGCAGCATGTATATGTATGCATATATCCTCAAGTATGCTAGTCTTGCAGAAACCCAAGCCCAGAACCTCAACCCGTGTGCATCGTTGTAAGACTGAAAAAAGACCCAGAACCCCTAAATCCCTAAACCTAAACCCTGAACGGCCCCAAACTCTGAACGCAAAGCGCCTGAACCCTAAACCTTAAACCATGAACCCCTCTACCATAAACCCTAAGCCCTACCTTAACCCCACGTAACCTACCTTTATAAGGACTTATATAAAGAAATCATATTAGGGAACCCTAAAAAGGTAGGTTCCTTAATTAGGGTCTAGGTAAGCCCCATCCAAGACGCGGGATCTTTAAAAGGCGCCTGCTCACGGGTGGCTGAATTTCCTGGGCATGGGGCTTCTCGGACAGCACGGAACCCAGAGACTCCAATATCCCTTAATTGAGGAATATACCTTAAATCATAATTGGATCCCTAATATGATTTAAGGTATATTCCTTAATTTAAGGATATTGGAGTCTCTGGGAAGCACAAGGTTCAGGGTTCGGGGCTTAGAGCATAAGGCTGAGAGAGGTGAGGGCGTAGGGTCTAGGGGTTTAGGGTTCTAGCAGGGTTTGGGGTTTAGGGTTTGGAGTTTAGGGTATAGGGTCTAGGGGTTTAGGGTTCTTTAGGGTGTGGGGGTTTGGGGCTCGCAGCGCTTTGAGTTTAGGGGCGTGCTTGTGGCTCTACTGGATGCTTTCCATAGTAGTGGCTCACATGAATTATCTTAGTAATACGGTCATTGACCTTTAACCGCTTGGGGTACTAGAATTCCGATAATGTAATCCTTAAGCTTATCTGTAGTTCCCTTCGGATACTGGACGACTAAGTTGTAAAGCTTTGAAGCGAGAGGTTTGATTAGGGCTTCAGGGCCTAGGGCTCGGGCTGTGCCGTCAGCACAGAACAAGCGCGCAACCAAGGGTCACGGAATTTTGGTACGGGTATAAGTATTACAAACAAGATATCCATATTATTTCTATCTTGCAGCCTGAAGTAATGTGGCCACCAAAACCGGAGCCACTCCCCACAGCTCTTGGAGGGTTCTGCTGGAACAAGTGGTCCTTTGGGATCTGTAACGGGTCTGCAAGGGTTCCACACTATAGAATCATAGTGTTTGTTCTACAGTGATATCCTAAACACTAAACCCTAAACCCTAAACTCTAAACCCTAAACCCTAAACTCTAAACCCTGAACTCTAAACTCTCTACCCTAAAACCCGTATGAGGTCATCCGAGCCCAAGTCAGTGAAGCACGAGCCACTCGAGACTTTGCTGCCTGGCTCGGATCCCCTGGGTGTTGCAATGTTTTTTTGTAGGATGCCCAGTAGTACCCTTATTCCCTTTTTGTAGTCCTAGGTTCCTTATAAAGTTACCCAATACCAAAAAGAGAGGCCTTTTTATTCTTAGGTTACTGGGTATCCTAGTTGTGTGTTTTGTTGATCTAGGGGCTTTAAGACGCTACTTTAGGAGGTGTTGCTATGGGGAAGCAAAGCTTAATGATGTCTCTTTGAGGGGTTTTGTTGTGTTCGGCCGGAGTTTCGGGCACAACAGACTCCTTGTCCATGTGGAGGTTTATAGTTTGTAGGGTTTGTTCCGGAGCTCAGGAGTGTAACAGTACAAACCCTAAACCCTCAGGTCAAACATGGAGGGTCCAGGCCTACAGTTTAGGGCCTAGGTTAGGGCTTAGGGCTTAGGTGTGCGTTTCATGCTTCACGTTTCGGGGTGTCGTCTTATGTCTCCTGATCTGGGCTTGCAGTGTATGGCTGAAGGGCTTGGGTTGAAGTTATATATGAAGTGTTCTGCATGGGTTCACGGGGAAGGTATCCCTGTAGGCATTAGTTATTTGGCTAGCCTACTTTTTTAGATGTTTAGTTGAAAAACGATCCTGAGCTTCAAGTGGGCTGACATAATAAGGAGCCGCCGTGGGGACTGTACCCAGAGACTCCAATTAATTAAGGGATACCTTGAATCATATTAAGGATCCTACTATCATTTAGGGTATATTCCTTAATTAGGGGATCTTGGAGTCTCTGGGTAGGCAGGGATTATCGTAGCCCAGGATCCTGAAAGCCTAAAGCCTAGGCCGAAACCTTTGAACCCCCACCCTGCCGAAATTCGATCCCGAAGCCTTGAAACCTACCCAGTGAATCGCAGAAGCAGTCCAGGTTTTTTTTGGGACTAGGACCTAGAGTAGGCCCTTATTCCCTTTTTCTCGGGTTCAGGTTCCCTTATAAGCCCCTTAAAACCAAAAAGGGCACCCTTTTTATTCCTAGGTCACTCTTGAGTTTAGGGGAGTTGTGTTTCTATCTGTTCGGCAACAATAAAAGGGTTGCAAGAACCGCCGCGAAATTCTCCCACAGCCCCTAGCGTGGGAACACTAGAAACCTCCACAAAGCACCACATCTTGTGAAGCCTCTTTCAAAGCTCTGCAGAAACCGAAGCGTAGCCCAAGCAAACCTGTATGTACCTTAATTTCTGGCTGGATCCTAAACAGGATACTGGGATGTATTTCACTCAACCCCTTATAAAGCAATCCACAAAACAGGTATCTTTCTCCCTTAGCATGCTATAACATGCGCCACAACCCTAGCCTAACTATGAAGGCCCCTTAGAGCCCTATACAACCGAATTTCAGCAATCCTATAATACTATAAATCCAGTTCACCTTGCAAAGGAGCCTTATGCCCAAGGTCCCTAACCCCTGACCTTTATCCCGAAACACTTAAGCCCATTGAAACCCCCACACCTTAAAACCCTAAACCCTTAAACCCTAAAAAAATGAAACCTTATATAAACCCTTAAACCCTTAATCCTTAAACCTTAAATCCTGAACCCTTAAACCCTACCCCCTAGCCCTGCGGACCCAAAAAGGAGCCCTTAAACAAGAAAAAACGAAACCCGCGCCCTGCCTGAAAAAGGAGCCCTAAACCCTAAACCCTGAACCCTAAACCCTAAACCGTGCCCTGCGGGCTTTAGGGAGCCTCTGGCAGCCGAGGCTTCCTCGGATGTGGTCCGAGATCAACGCATCGGAGGCCAGGCCCTGAGATCAGAACTCTACTGCTCTTAGGGCTCCTTAAAGGGATCTATAGGGGTTCCTTTAAAGAGATCCAACAGGGATGCATAGGGGATCTATAGGGTTTCTACCAATATCCCTTAATTAAGGAATATTCCTTAAATTATAGTAGGACCCCTAATATGATTTAAGGTATATTCCTTAATTAAGGGGTTTTGGAGGCTCTGGGAACTCTACTGCTCTTAGGGCTCCTTCAACTGGGGCTTTGGAAGACCATACTTTAAAGGGAACTCCAGAAAGTTGGAATATGATTATCCTAAGCCCTTCTATGGTAAATTACAAGGTATCCTACCCTGAAACCATATTCCCACTTTCTGGAGTTCCCTTCAATACTTTTTCTCAAACCTGTTCCTCTTGCGCACGCCTATGCAAGAAGTGAAACCGATCACGTCCGTTTAGGGTTTAGGGTTGGGAACCATTATGGAATAAAAGTCTATACTTTTTTCTCCCTGGTTACTGCAAAGTCCAGTAAAGGGATTTATAGGGGTTCCTTTAAAGAGATCCATATAGATCCATAAGGGATGGGCCTGAGATCAGAACTCCGGTGCTGCTAGAGGCGTGGGGTTTAGTGGTTTAGGGTTTAGGGGGGCCCTAAACCCCTAAACCCTAAACCCTAAACGGGGGCTAGGGTTGAGGAGGTTTGGGGTTGAGGGTTTAGGGGTTAGGGCTCTGTGCTCTTAGGGTTGAAGGCTTAGGGTTCAGGGTGATCAACCCCCCAAGGGACTACGGGAAGCTCGTGTTGTATGAAAAACCGTAATGTAGGGGCCTTAATAGTTACCTATACTATTTTGGGGGTTCCTTATTATGATTACAGTATAAGGGGCCCCCAAAACCCTAATTGTTCTAATTATTAAGGCCCCTATATTAAGCCCTCAAGTGCCGAGAGCATTGCAGGCCCGCCAGCTGAGCTGGAGACACCTGGAAGTATCTGGGAAGCCCTTGCCGCTGGAGAAGCCATGACGTCGCTTGCCGGCGGTATTTTTGGGGTTGAGGGTTCAGGGTTTTGGTTTTTTCAAGATTCATGTGTTTGTCGGGTCCCTGTCGGGTTGTTTGAGTAGCGGTTTCAGAGGTGTTGGAGTTGGGGTTTGCGGTTTTGGAATTTGCACTTGATGGCTTTGGGGATTCAAGTTTTTGGGATTTTGGTGTGTAGGGTTTTGGGCGGGCATGTGACTTGAGGGGGCTTCTAAGGTCAGGATTTACTTTGGGCTCAGGGTTTAGAGTTTATGCAGGCAGTCTTTGGACAATCCAGAAGCGAATCACTAGTGGATCAACTACATAAGGCATGACGGCTCAAAGGATCTAAAGAGATCTGTACTGTCTCCAGAGGGTTTAGGGTTTACGTTGGGCTTATGGGAGTTTAGGGCTTCTGAGGTAAGGATTTACTTTTGGGCTTAGGGTTTAGGGTTTATGTTGGGGTTGGGGGAGTTTGCGGTTAAGTCTACGGACGTTTTCAGCACCCGCCACACGGCCATGTTGCCCGACTCCTTAGCCCCAGCTCTGACGTTGCAAGTGCATAGCTACTCCTCGTGGGTGGTTGTCAATATTAGGGTCCCTTTTTGGGGTCCTTATTAAACTACGTCGCCTACCATTGAGGGTACCCAAAAAGGGACCCTAATTTTGACAACCACCCTTTTAGCCTTTCCTTTTGAGTTCCTTTCTTGACACCAAGTAGTATCCAAAAAGGTACCCTTGTTATTTAGGGGCCACTCAGGAACCAGGGTGTATGTACCAGTGTACCATGGTTGCAACACGCTTTGGGTAGTTCATGGTAGAGATCCGCTCCCCTCCTGAAAAGAGTCATGAGGAGTTTAGAAATAGCTGTAAAAAGTAAGCCCTTAATCCCTGAACCCTAAATCATGAGCCTTCAATCCCTAAACCTTCTATAGCGAACCCTCAACACAGCCCACTAGGACGTCGTAAACGAACCTTGTGCAGCCATCGCGCCCTGGCGGACCTTGCCCAGTAAGCGCGAACCCCCCTAAAGCCCTGTAAACCCTTTAAGCCTCGTAATCCCTAAAGCCTAAACGCTACAATAGAAATCTAATCAAGCCCCTAATTGCTAAAATCTAATCAAGCCCCTTAATTGCTAAAATCTAATCAAGCCCCATAATTGCTCAAGTCTAATTAAGCCCCTTAATTGCTAAAATCTAACTAAGCCCCGTGATTGCTAAAATTTAGTTAAGCCCCATAAATCTCTAAAATCTAAAGCTTATACTCGCCTTAGAGGCCCTAAAAGCTCGAAGCACCTCAATGGGGAGAGCTCGGCCCTTACCTGCAAGTAGACAGTCTGCTTCAGCTGTAGCTATAAGGGTTCCTTTGAGGGTTTTAAAGGGATCTATAGGGATTCTACAAGGGTATAGGGTTTAGGGCCTACTTGGAGGTTCAGGGGTGGTTATAAGTGGGGTTATAAGTCCCCCAATATGGGTTGTAAGTTTAGTTACCCTACTTATAACCCTACTTATAACTACCCATGAACCTCCAAGTGGAGTCTGGCCCTAAACCCTAGACAGTCTGGAGTCCTAAACCCTAAACCCCCAAACCGTAAAACCTAAACCCTGAACCCTATACCCTAGACCCTAAACCCTGAACCCCTAAACCCTGAAGCCTCAAGCCCAACCCTAAGCCACCATCCCCTGAAGCCCGACGCTCTGAAGCCTGAGGCCGGCCGCAAGCTCACATCGACGCGCACCCACAGAGTGTGTAAAATGATTCCGTGAGCAGCAGAGTTGGTCTAGGATGCCCAGTAGTACCCTTATTCCCTCTTTGTAGTCCTAGGTTCCTTATAAAGTTACCCAATACCAAAAAGAGAGGCCTTTTTATTTTTAAGTTACTGGGTATCCTAGGTTGGTAGTATTTCGAAAATTGGAGCTTATGGGAAGTAGGTTAGGGTTTAGGGATTTGGGGCTGTAGTGAGCAATAGTCAACAGTGGAGGTTCAAGTTTACAGTCACCTGTTTGTTGCGGTACTATGCCAAAATCACAAGGTTACTTCAATTGATTCTGCATACTGTTCCCTACTGCTCCTGTCCTGTTGCCGAGCTAGTAGGATACTAACCATATCATATATTATCCAGAAGCTCATTATTTAGCGTGGGGTTGGGGTATGTCCAGGTAGGCCCTCAACCCGGGTTTGGTTGTTTACAGAGAAGATGCGACTCGGGGTCTTTATATACCTTAGTCTATCCAAGCTCTATATTAGGGCGTACAATAATGAGAACCTGCAACAAAGTAGTTATGCTAGTTTAAGGCAGGATCCAGAAAAGTACTATTGCCAGGGCTCCTTGTGGAGGTCAAGCTGTAAATATCCCGTTGCAGAGTGTAGGCTTTAGGATGACGGCAACATAAAGTCCTGGACTAAAGGGTTTCAGAAAGAAGAAAACTGGCGATCGTTCCAACCTGAGCCCACTATTTGAGTCTGCAGGCTTCTACGTAGCTTTGGGGCTTTGGGGTTAACGCCAAATTGTCACTCCAGCGCTTCAAGATAGCGGAACCCTCAACGACTGTAAACGGTCAACCGAGTTTGTGTCTTTAGTAGCGGCCTCCAGACTCCAGCTCCCACAAGAATCCGCTGATAAAGCCGCAGCACATTCTCGAGACTCGCTGCCCTATCGCAGGTGCAAGTGATGTTTGGCGAGCGGCCGTGCCCCTTAACTGTGCATAGCTACAGGCCATATGCAGGCACCATCTCTTCCTAAAGAAGGTTGTTGTTATGTGTTATCATTTCCAAGTTCAATGCAACCGTCGTGGCAGTTGTTGGTTTTGTTACCTGCATTGTGAGTACATTTTTCTAGACATTAGATGTTCTATTACTCCTAGCCAAGGATTGAACTACAACGGCTGCCTGGGTACATCTATAGGACGTTAGTTCAACGGAGCAATTACTATGCCTACAGTCTCCGTCGCAGCTCCTTTTGTTTTTTACGCTGCTTGATTATTGGGTCCTAAATATGGAACTGGCTAACCACAAAGTGACGGGTTTAGGATAGTAGTTGTGCAGGGCAGGTTTTTGGAGATCGTGATTTCGGTTTGGTGTTGAGTTGCTACCCTGATGCTCCAGAAGTATTGGATTTAAGCAGCAACATGCTCGTGCTACCTACTATAGAGGGGCCCTTGTATGGTTTACATAAAGTCCCTCTTGTATATAGTCTTGTGAAAGCTCTACGAAACCCGACCAGCAGTCTTCCGTCCTGAATGAGGAGCTCTAGCGAGAAGGCCCCACGTCCACACGTGAGCTGAAGAAGCTAGGGTTTCACTTGAGTCTTTTTGTTCTTTTTGTAGGAGGTCTTCTGGAACACAGGTTTTGAACACTCAAAATGTCAGGTCTAGGTGTTGTTGTTGTTGTTGTCGTTGTTGTTTGGGTTTCGAGGCTTCTAGAGTTGGGGTTTAAGGTTAGGGTCCTGGAACATGGGCTTTGGGGCTTGTAGATTTTGGTGCGTTAGGTTCAAGGTTTTCGGGAGTTGTGTGTGTTTTCGTCTGCATTCTACTGCCCCTCCACGGCCCGGATTCATGTTTTGGGTTTAGGTTAGCTACTGCCCTCATACAGTAAGAGTCTATAATATGGCTACTGTTAAGGTCCTTATATACCCATATTATGAATATTCTTCAACTATTACTGAATGGGGGCCGTACCCAAGGTTTCGTGTTTTGGGATGTCGAAATCCGAGGCCGTATCTGGGAGGTGAACCAAACGGCGATTCTTTGCCAGCTGAAGTACCGGGGCTCAGGATTTGCGGTAAGTAGAATAGGGGTTCAGTTAAAGGGGTCCGAACAAAAGGGGTCTGTATGGGATCTACAGTAGGGTTCTCTATTAGGGGCCTTCGGCCTAAACAATAGGGGTTTAGGGGTTTAGGGTTTACGGGCTTAGGGTCTGGAGTTTAGGGGTTTAGGGTTTAGGCTTGAGGGGTCTAGGGTTTAGGGAAACTTAATGTAGGGGAAATAATAATTAGCATAGGGTTTGGGGGTTCCTGAAGAAAATTATCGTATATTGTACCACCAAACCCTATTCCAATTATTAAGGCCCCTTCCATTGCCGCCGAAACACGACACCCGTATGATTCAGGGTGTAGGACACGTGTTTAGGATTCAGGACTTCGTGGCTTGGGGAACAGGGCTCGCTTAATATAGAGGTCCGATTGCTTTGACAAAGAGCCGAACGTTCTCATTCTGAGAAATTGGGGGTCTAAACGCTTGGAGTAGGGTTTTAGGGTATACCTGGACCCTATGAAACCTACCTTTTTTTAGGTTCCTTGATATGATTTCTTTATACAAGTCCTCAAAAAGGTAGGTTCTTTGCAGTCAAGGTAGATCGTAGCGCAATCAAATCGGGACCATAAGGGAATATCGTTTGACCCCGGGGCACAGACGAACCACGGTTTAGGGGTTTAGGGTTTAGGGTAGACGAACCACTACACCCGAAACCTCACATGCTCCAATTTGTTGGGATGCTCGGCTGAGGTTTCGGGGTGCATGTCGTAGAGTCCGAGTCTTTGCCTGAAGCTTTGTTTTAGGTTCGGGGTTAGCAGCTGGGGATGTAAGGGGGGAACCCCTGTGCAGAAAAACCCGCATATAGTAAACCTCCGAACCGAACTCCCAAACCCCACACTCACGAACACCCATATAGGATGACTTCATGTTTACGGTGCCTCATAGTGTGATGTGTTTATTTAAGATTGCGGCTTCGATGATCCCCCAACGGATTCCGAAACCTGTCCGAGCAGTACGGTTATAAGTAGGGCAACTACACCTATAACCCATACTAGGGGACTTACAACCCCATTTATAACCACCCATGAACCTCCAAGTAGTTCTCGTTTCTAAGGCCACATTTAGTACTTCACGCTACAGGGGGGGTTGAGGGACATGTGGTCCGATGACAAACACATCATCGAGGTCGAGATGCAGGGATGCAGGTTTGTGTTGGGATCCTGAAGGCACCTTTTTGTGTGGCCTTGCCTTCGCCAA